AATTTGAGATAAAACTAATGATTTCTCAGAACAATGTAAAGGTTTAGACTGTGAATGCGTGTGTGTGTGTGTGTGTGTGTGTGTTTTAAACTATGCTATATTTATTTATATTTAAAAATGCTTGATATATTAGATCAAGCATACGTAAATATAAAAGTGGACACTGAGGATAACACTAAGCAGTAGCAGTGTTTCATGCTTCGAGGCCATCTTCTGTTCTGAAGAATGTTTTGAAGCAGACTGTCACCATTTGTTGACCTTCATATCCACTTATGTGTGTGTGTGTGTGTGTGCAATCCAAACCTTTATATTGTTCTGAAAAGAACATTTTTTTTTTTTCAGCTCTTTACTCAAAGCTTATTTCTTGTACACATTTAAAGCCTATCAATGACTACTACATTAGTATAAAATTCTATGACTATTCAGCTGTACCTATGATTGTAGACTAATATTTTTTTAGTAACCATCATCTTCATTACTGACCACTGAAAATCCCTTTATTCCTGATTTTTCATCTTTTTATAATGCACAATATTTCCTGATCAGAAATTGTAGTGATACTAGCAAATTAGTATGCATAATTTGCATAAGCACAAGTGAACACTCATATAAGTGGTCACTGAGAATAACGAGGCAGTAGTAAGAGTTTAGCGGCTGATTAGTGCTAACCTCTACCTCACAACGATGGCGTCACCGATAGGATATCAATTGTCTCTGGAAGATCCAGATTTCGTGGATACATGGATTCGTTGTTTCTTTGCCACTGCGAGAACAAAAAAGTTGAAAGACAGCAAGGAAAAGGGAGGCGAAAATGAAATCACGGATTTATTTTTGGCTACAGCTGGATGCGAGACGATAATGAAAGTCTCCACCATGGCATATCCCTTAAATTTGGAAGACTTGACTTTCGAAAAAATAAGTCAGATTATAAGAAGAAATATGAGACCCAAGAAAAGGCTGGTAGTGGCAGAAAGAACGAAATTCATGTCGATGAAACAGGAAATTGACGAACCAATTATAAAATATCTACACCATCTACGAAATGCAAGTAGATATTGTGAATTTGAAAAACTTGGACAAGATGAACAGACTATTGAAGAGGACTTAATTCAATTAAGATTAATTGAAGGTATGTGCAATGCATCACACTGATATAAAATAATGGAACAATTACAAATAGGAAATATGTCTTTAAATACATGTATTGACTTTATTCAGCAACAAGAACTAATACAGAAATACAACCATCATAAAAGTCAACCCAGCGAACAAATATTCGCTGATACGTTAAAGAAGATAAAAAAGTGTTCGTATTGTGGACATGAACACGAAATAAAAAAGGAAAAGTGTCAAGCATTTGGAAAAACTTGTAATAATTGCTTAAAAAAGAACCACTTTCAAACAGTGTGTAAAGTAAAAAAGAAAAACATTGAAAGAATTGAAGAAAACGACACCAATAGGGGAGTTTTTACATTAAAAAATAAGAGTATAAAAAAATTGAACATAAGAAAAAAGACATTATAATAAAGGTCAAAATTAATAACTGCAATTTCTAGATATGCAAATGGATACTGGGAGTGAAGTAACACTCATACCAAAAAATTTTTGGGAACGCATAGGTAAGCCACCTTTACGAAAGAGCAGTTTACAACTTTGCCAATTTGATGGGTCGGTTATAAAAACATTAGGATACTTTGAAGGTTCCTTAGAGTTAAAAGACAAATTTGAAGTAGTACCTATAATTGTTACAAGTTGTGAAAAGAACCACAGACTTATTGGAAACGACGTGCTTAACATAAATTCTACCAATTAATGAAATAAAAATGGAAAAAACTGGAAAGTTAAGCTATGAAGCAAGTTTAAAAGTAAAAGAAAATGTTTCCCCCTCTTATTATGAGGCACGAAAATTACCAGTACGTTTATTGCCATTAGTAGTGATAAAACTACATAAATTAGTAGAACAAGACCTTCTTCAACATGTTCCGCCTGGAGGTAGCAAATGGGCATCACCCATTGTAGTGTTGAGGAAAACAGATGGTGATTTACGTATTTGTGGAGATTACAAAATAGGAGTAAATCACAAGATATGCTCGGATTCATATCCCATACCCAATGTTGAACTTGCATGACATGCACTGGCAGGAATGACCACAAAAAATAGATTTAAAAAACGGCATACCACCAAATACCAATAGACAAGAACTTCAAAGAAGTAACCACGATAAATACGCCAATAGGGTTACTAAGATGGAAAAGGATGCCATATGGAATAAAAACCATAAGCGCCATATTTCAAAGGGCCATTGAACAGGTTTTAGAAAAATGTAAAAAAATTTGTTACCAAGACGACATATGCATAGGAGCTACTAATGAAAAGGAATTAAAAGAGAAAACTGACTTAATCTTGAATAGATTAAGAAATGATGGAATGACGATAAATGAGAAAAAATGCATAAGCAATTCTAACAAAATATTTTTTTAGGTTATTCCATTTCAAAAGAGGGTATATCACCAGACCAAGCCTTGATAGAAAAAATACTAAAAGTAGCTACACCTACAAATAAAAAAAAAAAAAGGAGTCTTTTTTGGGATTGGTAAATTTTTATAGGCGATACTTACCAAAATACACGGACTTGACAGAACCATTTTCAAATTTAAGAAAAAAGAATATGGAATTTATGTGATCAGACGAACAGCAAAAAGCTTTTGAAAGATTAAAAGAAATTATGTCAAAGAAACCTGTAGTGAAAATGTTTGATCCAAAAAAGGACATAACGCTCACTACAGATGCAAGTGAACATTCAATATCAGGAATATTATCACAAGAAGGACATCCGATAATGTATTTATTGAGAAGATTAACGAATACTGAATTCAATTACTCGAACATAGAGAAAGAAGCATTGGCTATCGTGTGGACAACTACTAGAGCCCGACAATTTTTTATTGGAAAAAAATTTCTGTTAAGAAGTGATCATAGACCATTATTTATATTTAACCCAAGGAAAGAATTACCCAAAGTCACGACATCAAGGATTCTACAATGGGCGATAAGATTGATGGCATTTGACTTTGATATAGAATATGTCAAAGGAAATTCAATTCCACATGTGGATGCACTATCAAGATTGAGGTTCTACAAGGAGTCAAAAGATAAAACAGAGGAAGAATTTGAAGATTCATTCCTACATTTGATAGAGACTGTTTTTGTCTTTAGATAGAATGGCTGTGGAAACAAGATATGATCAGGTGCTAAGTAGGATAGTATCGAGAATAAGAAAAAACTCCTGGGGAAATTGTTCTAGGGCGGAAAGTCCCTATAAAAAAATAAGACACAAATTAACAATAGAACATGGAGTGATTTGTAATGGGGCACTGGTAGTTCCCCCAGAAACACAAAGAAAACCGATAATAGAAAGTGTACATAATGATATACACTGTGGAGTAGCGGCCACACAAAAAAGGATAAAACTAGAAGCTTGGTGGCCGGGATATTCAAGAGATGTCGAGGAATATGTAAAAAGGTGCAAAAAAAATGTAAAGAATTAAGAAACTTTACACAAAACAAATTACATTCTTGGCCCAAAGAAGTGGAGCAATGGAGTCGTGAGCATATGGATCATGCATACATTAATGGAGTGGGACTTTTATTAATACTAGTAGACTCTTTTTCAGGTTGGCCTGAAATAATCCAGGTTACAAACAAGAAAAGTTTGTACGATAAAGCAGATTCTAAGAGTCATATTTTCCAGAAATGGCGTACCAAAAACCTTGGTATCTGATAATGCACCAGAATTTTGTGATGAAGAACTTAATGTATGGTTAGAAAAAATAGGGTGTAAACCATATAAGACACCTCCATATCACCCTCAATCGAACGGATTAGCAGAAAGAATGGTGCAGACCGTAAAAAAGGGACTAAAAGCATGCTCTCAGCAAAAAGAAAAAGTAGAAGTTTTTCTACTGAGGCTGCTTTTAAGTTATTGTATGATACCACATACGGGAAAACTAGAAAGCACATCAGCTTTAATGGGAAGACAGATTAGAGCTCCTCTAACGATGTCGTATTCTACAAATGAAAAAATGTGGTACAAAAAGAACAAAGATGCAGATCCGGAAAGGGCAGAATTTATCATGCAAAAAGGCCACAATACAGCTATAATAAATAGAGAAAATAACAATAGTGTATTAGCCCATGCAGACCAAATAAGGACCCAGGGTGAAGAGGAAGAGCAAAACGATGAAGAAATGTCTTCAATTCCGTTTGATAACGAGTTGGTAGAACAACCATTACAGAAGGAAACTTCAGAAGATGAAATAATGCAGGATCAAGAGGGCCAGAATGAGTCTGAAAGTTCAGACAAAGACCAGATAATGCAAGAAAACACATGACAACAGCCTAGCGCAGGACAGATCTAGGTCTCCCAGGGAAAGAAATACGGGAGAGAGAGAAGTAGAGCAAAGTGATGAAAATAACATCAGAAGGAGTACAAGATCTACGAATGGAATAAAACCCTTACGTTTCAGGGAGATGTAGTGATACTAGCAAATCAGTATGCATAATTTGCATAAGCACAAGTGAACACTCATATAAATGGTCACTGAGAATAACGAGGCAGTAGTAAGAGTTTAGCGGCTTATTAGTGCTAACCTCTACCTCACAACAGAAATAAAATTAAATGTTTATATATCTCATAATATCACATGGAGAATTTATTAAATAAAAATATCTCGAAGACATTTAATTGAACTTAGACAACTATCAGAATGCATTGAGATTGGTTTGTGTATATTTTTTTTTTTATCTAAATTAAGACCATCAATCATTATCATAACAAAACGTAAGGTCCTATTTTTACATGTTCTTATGGCAGGATTCAAATGATCTTCCCAAATAATTTTTCTCCAACTACCCCACTTTACCATGCTGCCACCATCCTTTGTTGGACATTCTGGAATGTTCTATTTCTAAAAAGTAAGAAATCATAAAAGAGACCTACTTCTTCCAAAGTAGAATCTCGTCCATATGTTATGTTGTCTTTGATTGAACAGCCAAATAAGACTGGTTCTTGTCCCACAAGAGCAATCTGTTTCCGGAACCAAGAAGGATTCAGAGTTTTGATGTCAAAGCCACCTTAAAATAAATAGAAAATAAAATAAAAATATAAAAAATGTGAAAAGCTTTGTTTATTTTCAGAGTTTTCCCTCTCTCTTCCTTCCATTAACAAAATACTTGAAATTTTTTAAGCAAATATAATTGATGCATTTTATTTTAATGAAAATTAAAAAGAACCCAATGAGAATGTATAGTAGAAAATGATGTACAAAAAAAAAAAAAAAAAAATTTAGTGCACCAGTCTAAATGAATTGTAAAATGACAAGGTGACCTTAGACAATTCAAGAAAACTATTGAACAGTTCCCTGCAGAATAAATACTGATGGGTAAACTATATATATTTAATATATAAAGCTACAATTTTACATCTCCATTCAAAACCATGATAATTAAAATTATGATAGCAAATAAATACAGTTTTATAATCTATCCTACCAGCATATGTCTTACATCATGCCCAACTTAGTGGTTCTCGTTTAATAACAAGAACTCATTTTTGTTATTTATTTCCAATATGGATTTTTGGGATCTTTTTAAATAAGCTACTATTTTTATAATTGTTCACTTATTTAAATAAAGTCATTCTCTGTCCAGAATAGAGTAACCACCTTAGCATTTAGATCACAGTTTGGAAATAAAGGGAAGTAAGCAGTATTGACATTTTTAATAGTATATTTTCGTCGTCTAACAAATTATTAAATTATTATACTTTTTTGAGTCATAAATAATTTCCGTTTTGGTTTATCAACTTTATTCTTCCAATTATTACAATTAGTTCCCAAAAACAGTAATTACTCATGACTCAACCTAATATTATTATATTCTATGTTTAAAATAAACAACAATCAAAATATTTAAACCTATTGAATTACTTTAAGACAATTTCACAGACCATCTCCTAAGTAAATCATTTATATAAAAGAAATGACTGCAAAGTGCAACAAAGATAATCATCATGGAACAATTTTAACCTGACTCGAACATTATGAACAGATACAGAAAATGTAAACAGAATATCTTCCCGATTTTAAGGTCAAAAGGTGATACTGCCCTCTGACCCCAAAGATTCATATATTGGCCTTCAAAAAAAAAAAAAAAAAAAAAAAAAAAAAATTTGTGACTAATGATGTCTAATGATATTCCAGTTGATCACTACTTCTGGTTAATATAAATTTTAAGTATTTCTTAGATAAGGCCAACTACATCACAAGGATATATTTCTTAAGCGCTTAGTGAAAATCATTCTAAATTGACTAGGCAATCAAGACAGTCATTAGTGTACTAATTACAGTGATTGGTGTACTACTGCAAAAGCTCCTACTTAATACAGATTGCAGAAAAACAACTTTACTTATAATCACTTTCCTATTTATTATACAATGATCAAACCACTTCAATTTGGAAATACTTACCTAGAAATATTTTCCCACTCGGTGGGTCATAAAAACGTTCTATGAGACTGACAATTGTTGATTTGCCTCCACCGGATGGTCCAACAAGAGCAATCACTTTGCCAGTATCAACCCTAAAGGACACACCCTGAAAAATGATATTTTAAATTCAAGTGAGCCTGAATTAAGATAAAATTTACAGGAATATATCAGTAAAAGTTTGAAGCATGTAGGATAATTTATCATTTACTCTCTGCATCCAGGAATATTCCAGGAGTATTGAAAAATAAGATATTTTCAGTGTTGAATAGATATTTCTGCAATTAAAATAAATTTATTACCTATGGAGTGTATCTATATCAATTATAATGTGCAAATGGAGCCAATACATCTGGTTTTCTTATTCTCAATTACTTTTGCTATCTGTGGTCCATGGTAAAAGTCATTGATCACATATTCCTATCATTGACTATTATTACTATAACATTTTTTTAGTTTGTGATAGAGAAACAATGAATGAATGACAGAAGTAGTCAAGTTAAAGGAAGTCCTTTTACTTCCACTTAAAACATAAGTACCCTCTTCTGTTTTTAGTCTTGTTCATTACAAGTGCAAGGGTAGGTGAGGAAGGGAAAAAAATGATTTTTTTTATATCCCTTACTCTAGGCAACAGTCCTCAGCTGGACTCATATTTGCAATATTGACTTAAAAAAAAAAAAAAAAAAAAAAACTTCAGTCATACAAAGAAGCAGAATAGTATGGATTAAATTAATATGAGTAAATTTTGGCTGAGAATCCAATGGATGAGAATCAGATGGAATGGTAAATATAAAAGAATTTTGAAAAGTTTTATTTTGACATGTTTCTGCCAATGGATTGGTTTCAACAGAAAAAAGAAACCTATTTTAACAAAATTGTACTAATGTAGATTTTGTTGAAATAAAATAATTATTTTTTCTGATGAAGCCAATCAATTTGTGAAACATTAAAAGAAAAGTTAATCCAAATCATCTTATATATTCACCATTAATTCACATCTAAACAGAAGTAAAAAAAATTATAGACAGCGCTTCTACCCCAATAACTCAAAGCAGTGCCTATATAAGTTTTTGTTGGGTGTGGCTGAATGGAATTCTTATAGATCTGCAATATGTCCCCATGCATGCTCAATGGGATTTAAATCTGGGGACATCCAGAGAGAGCAATGAAGTACCTGGAAGTCAACTGAATATTGCACATGATGGTGTCATTGCATCATCCTATTGGAACAAGCAATCCTTATTATTATGTTGCAAACAAAAAAGCTCCGTAAAAAAATCTGTGTATGTCAAGCTTGCTAAGAGAGACTCCAGTTTCCTTTGTGGTCCTTTCAAACTCCCATAGAACATATGTCATACCATTACAGAGCTTCCACAACACCCAGCCGAGAGGTTGGATTCATTGTGGAGTAGGTGTTTTGCCAGGGCAATATATGATTTGGAATTCAAAGTTTTTCCTTCTCTTAAACTGGTTACCCTCACACATACACAGATGTGTGTGTATATATATATATATATACACACACATACACAGATGTGTGTGTGTGTGTGTGTGTGTGTGTGTGTATATATATATATATATATATACACTTAAACTTTGCTAAAATCCAAACCTTTCCACTACCACTGTTTTATCTGCAAACTGTCAGATAGTAAAAGTTAGGCCTTTTTTTTTTTTTTTTCTCTTTTAAAAAAAATCTTTTTCTGTCTGATGATCTTCAAGGGAAACTGCAGCAGCAGAATTTTTTTTATCCATTATTTTTTTATTTTATTTTTAAAAATGTGTGTGCATGTGTGTATTGCATGCATACATGCATGCATACACTATGGAAAAAAACTTGCACTAATGAAAAGTGCATATAAAAAATGAAAAATCAAGATATATAAGCAGTCAGTTGCTGATACCTCTGACAAGTGGACAGAGTGGTTCCTGGCGGATCTATCTACAAAACTGGAGTTAGGACACTGAAGGTAACATAAATTGGCTAAGTGTCAAAACTTTTATTTGGTATTAAATCTATATACATACATACACACACATACATACTTTATATATAATCTTGACCCAACTTTGTTGCGAAAATGTAAGTAAATTGTAATATTGAATACTATACTTACACGGTCAAAGTTCAAAACTGCCTACATTTTTGGAGCTAGGATTAGTGTAGGGTTGTGACATATATGTTGGATGACCTTTTTAATAGCTGACTAGCAAAAGTAAATAATTATCCAAACATCTGTCACAAACCTTTTACTTATAACATGGTCTACATGTTTTTTTTTTTTTTTTTTTTTTTTTTTTTACAATTTTTGAGAAAAATATGATTAAAAAAATTCAACATAAAAACCTTATCAGTTCAATTTAATTCAAGCTATTTAAATTAATTCTTGTTGCATACACACAAAGGATTTAGTATTAGCTACAATTTCAGGTATGTGCTGAGAGGGAGGATCTTGGGACATATTTACTACTGATATGTTGGGATAAGGTAAGTGGCAGGAGCTACTTCACTTACCTGGAGAACAAGAGCTTCTGGTCGGGATGCATAGCTAAATTTTACATCACAGAATTCAACACCTGCAAAATAATATTTTAATCATATAAATATAATTATTTCATAACAATATATTTCAAAACACCATTTAATAGTTGTTTTTATAAAGCTACAAAAAGTGTATTCATAAAATTTCAATATTTTAATATCTTCATCTGCTTAAAGTAATACAAAGAAAATTGCTAATGTGATAATTTTGGGGTCCTTTTCATAACAGTAACTGGCTGATAACATTAAACATATGATATAAAAATTGCTACAACTTACATTTACTGTTAACAACTTTATATTTTATATTCTAAAAAAAATTAAATTGCTCATTTTTAACTCATCTTAAATTAAATGTTTGGGAATGATTGATTTTGATAAACACCATTTTGTAACATTATCCAGAATTATAACAACATCCACTTTACATAAAATTGATTTACTGTGAAATTTTTTTTTTCCACTATTTACCATGTAAATTTCTATACAAGTGATTTTATAATAAAAATACATTAAAAAACATTCTTATCACAGAAATAAATTTATTTATAATTACAAAGTTAGCGTTGTCTGACACAAGGCCAAATATAGCAAAGGGATTGAATAAAGAGCCCATACTTCTACCAGACTAGCTTGTTAATTATCACTCAAAATCAAAAACTCCTAAATTATTTATTAAATACAATTTAGTATGGTACAAGGTTACATTAAAAGCTCAAACTAGAAAGGTCTTAGCAAGATGAGTTTTTTTTTAACCTGATGATAGAAATGGATTGGCTTTACTATGGAAATGAGATTTTCTTTATCATGAATTATTCTTGGGTCTTCAATAAAATTGGCATTTGGAATAAGTGGTGGTGGGGTACAAAATCTAATAAGTGGGAGGTTGGAATAAGTTGAAGAGCAGTTGAAAAAATCTGAGTTAGGATGATGAGAATTAGTCTAAAATTTAGTTTATGTGAATGAAGGAATGGTATGTAAACAAAGAGCAGATTATTTAAAAGGAGTTAAATAAATTCTATATCAATATTTATAGCACAAATGAAAAACCTTACAAAGCATGTTCCTAATTTCCTTTGTCAGTTATTCTTTGCTTTGGATCATCGTATGGTATTGTATACCACACGATGAAAAGTGAACAGATTGTGAAAAGGATTGAATAATGTCAAAGTTTCACATTCAAAATCTTTTCTCCGCTATATTATTTTTGTTTTTTTTTTATTACCCCAAGCAAGACAGTAAAGAGGACACTGGGTGTGGAAAAAATAGAAAACAAACTTTACTAAGGAGCAAAAACAAAAGATGAGTAATCATGAGGACAGTAGATAGTGAATGACATTGCATTTAAATTTTTGAAGTTGGCTGGAAAGTATGGAGCTGGAAGTGAGTTCCACAAGTAAAAAGTGTGAGAAAAGAAACTGTTAGCATAGAACGTATGCTAACCAACTCGACTGTAAATTGGTGAGACCTCATTGCCAGTCTAGTGCTGCACTTAAATTCATAAAAAGTCTAGGTACCATTGAAAAAGGCTCATCCAAGCATTTGCCATAAAAGTATTCATAGAAAAGGTACAGGGAGGCAACTTTAAGGCAGTGGGAAATTGACTGAAGCTGAGATGCCAGATCAACACCAATAAGATTGCTGATTCTTCTTTGGATTTTATCAAGTATCTCCAGATATATAGTATATTTAAATTATTTTTAAAACAACAAGGAAATGTTGCACAACTAAAAGATTATTTTCATATGTTAAAATTCAAATTAATTTTTAGAATTTAATGAATAAAATTTGGAGGAAGTCTTAGAATCTGTATCAAATCAGTTTTGCAATTGTAAATTATCATTTTCCTAGAATTTAAACTTTTTTCTAGAAAGCTTCCACAAAAATAAGCAATTGTAATCGAAATTTATTTAAATACACTGTAATGAAACAGACATCAGCAGCAAGAATACTGGTGATGTTAGCAGTGTGGGAGTATCCCACTTGTCTGCCAAAGAAGTTCTGCTAAAAACCACTAGATGGTATTGCCAAAGCAGTGTATAAGAAAAGGGACATAAAAGTCCAATTCTCTTTCTTCTCTTTTCACTCACAGGACATGAGACGTGTCTCATTCATCTCTAGGGGACCATTTGGTCTCCAATGGATTTCATGTCATAATGAACACAACACAATAATATGCTACAGACAAGGTCCTAATAATTTTACCAAGACAAAAAAGAACTCTTCTCAAAGTGTCCCTCACAATCTCTGTAAAGGAACTTTACACACTTCTATGTATGAAAAAAGGACATCACTACACACATCTTCATTCACCACCTTTTGTATTCTTTCCATTTAGTTTTGCTCAGACAATAGTTTCTTGTTAATTGTATTCAATTGTTTGTATATTCCTTTTTGCACTTTTATTTAAAGAAACTCCAAATACCTCCACTATCATACCAAATCAACAATATATCCTCACACCAGCAGCAGTTGCTTACTTCCCGCAACCACACCAACAGTAGAGCTCATTTTGTGAGTGCATTCACTGTACACACTTCCACTTTTTCTGTTTCCATAACCGAAAACCAATAAAGAAGAAAGTGACAATGACATTCTTTTTTTTTTTTTTAACAAGATACTATTTTTAGCTGGAACAACATCATCTCTTTCAACTTAAAAAAAATTAATATGTATTGTATTTGATGGCTTTTAAGACCCACCCACATTTATGTTTAATAATATTACAACATTATGGAGTTAGGTCAGTTACAGGTACTGCTAGCTATTTCAGGCCTTCCCAAATATTTTAAATTGTAACCCCACCCTTTATTAAAAGAAATTCGCCATGACCCCCTGCCACAAAAAAAAAAAAAAAAAAAAAAAAAAAAATTTACACCACCCATTTCTTTCTTTCTTTTTATGTGCCATGTCCTTTCAGAATGTAGGTGATCATGGCTCTCCACTTCCCCCCCCTTGTAGCTCTTTTGTGCCTTTGCCAACTCTCCCAGACCACCTTCTGTCATCCACTTGCTTAAGACCACCAGGTATGTCATGCGTCACTTTCCCTCTCTTTTTTCCCCTCTCTATTCGACCTGTGAGTATCAGATTCTCCAAGCCCTACTTTCTCATTACATGTCCCAGAAATTTCATCTGCCTCTTCCTTATGTTAAGTATAAGCTTCCTCCTTGTTTGCATCCTCTCTAAGACCTCATCATTGCTCACACACTCGATCCATGATATCCTTAGCATCCTTCAGTAGAACCACATCTCTGCTGCCTCCAGTCTCTTTTTCATCTTTGAGGAGACCGTCCAACATTCACTGCCACATAGGAGGACAGATGTCACATAGCAGCTCAGTACACTATTCTTTGTCACCAAAGAAATCCTCCTGTCTTGCAATACTCTGCCCAGCTTTTGAAATGCATCCTTGGATATCCCAATTGGTCTTCGGATCTCAGTGTTGCACCTACTGTTCTCTGTCAAAACACTTCCCAGATATTTAAACTTCTGCACATGCTTGATTTTAGTGTCCCCAAACTGAAAATCGCATTTCAGGCTCATCCTTTTACTGATGACCATGCATTCTTCATTCTGTCTTGTAGTTTATGGTTAGTCCTTTCATCTTCCTCTCCCTAACTACCATCTGTAGGAGGTTTTTTTTGTTCTTTTCCATGTCTGCTATCAGTCAGTACCGTGTCATCTGTGTATCTTATGTTGGTAAGGTTATGGCTGCCAATGATGAATCCCAGTTAGTAAAAGAAATTCAGGCCCATTTACTATCTGAGGGACTATGCACATTTCTGGCCAAAATCAACCATTAATGATTTTCACTATGGATATGTAAAACCTAATTGAGAAAACATCTTACAAAATTTTTATTCAAAAAACACCATTCTTGAAATAATGTCATCTTTAAAGAAGTGGGGGAGAGGTCTGGGGGTAAACTATGTATTTATTTTTCAGAGGAATTAAATGGTATAGATTTTTTTTTATTTGCAAAATTGGCAACCCAGAATAAAAGAAAATTATTCATATATTTAACAGAAAAGATAATTACATATTTAACAAAAATAATTGGGCATTTTTTATAACCATCTCACCTTAAGTAAAGTGATAACATCACTAAGATGCAAGGGGTTACTGAGGACGAAAAATAACCAAGTCAAGGAAACTGAAAAATTATACCGAGAAAAAAAAAAGGACAATAAAAAGAACAGGATTCAGAAAAAAAAAAAAAAAAAAAATATATATATATATATATATATATATATATATATATATATATATATATATATATAAAATACAACATTATCATAATATATTAGAGTTTTTTGGGGTTTTTTTTTTTAGGTATGATTATTAAATTTTAGATTTATGGATTCATTTCTATTTGAAAAGTACAATTTCAAGATTTTATTTTTTTTGCAGCAAAAATTCCAAGAACAATCAAATAATCCTAGAGTGAGGATTAACAAAAAAAAAAAAATTCTCAACTGCAATTCAATGACTTCCACTGAATTTTATAGGAGCTGCAACCCCTACTCTTAAGGAAGCTTGAACTAGTTGACCATATTTGGGATCATTGAATCACTGTGAACGATCCTTTCCTTAGCTGCATAGTATGTGCTTCACCAGGGCTACATACAGTTTTTGAATTCAGAGTTTTCCTTCTCTTAGACCGGTTGCTACCCAAGGCTATAGAACCTAGTCTGCCCTACTATTTATTCATAGCTAGGGAGAGAAGAATTGGATTCAGATCTTTCCCAAGGGTATTAACACATAAGTGAATGTACATCTGGATAATCATTAGCCAACCAGATATCTCAACTTTGGATTATGTTTTGAACCGGTTTTTAAGTATGTCCTTCTCAGATGTTTTCAAACCCCCTTCACCACTCATCAATGACATTTTAAAACATTGAGCAGACATTTGATAACTAAAACTAACAGCCTTCAATTTTGCTTGGGCAGACCCCAGTTTCCATACTGATGGCTGGCTCTCTGTCCAATAATTCAAAGATTCTCACTGATGATCCCACAGCCTGAAAATAGACAAATGAAAAAAAAAAAAAAAAAAAAAAAAATTTAAAAAGATGATGAGAGTATCTGTTTAAATTTCTGGAATGAGGAGTTATTTAATTATGACTAATGTCTTCATATTGGTGGTTGCTGTTGAGAACTTTAAAATAAATGAGGTGGATCTGCTGTGACCAGAATTTTTCTTTCTTTTCTTTCAAAATTTTGAAATTCACAATCTGTAGTGTTTAATCAATAGTCCAGATCACAAAAAAAAAAAAAAAAAAATTCTTTTTACATTTTAAATAATTTGTTTTTTATGACTTATCAACCTTTTCCTTTTATTTACACCAAGAAAATATATTTTTAGATTTTAAGAATTTTGGGGAGATAATGATTTACTGAGACAAGTTCTATAATTAACCCATAGCTGGTATTTGCACATAAGTGAAAATAACAAACCTCACTGGAATTGGAACTTGGCTCTCTGGATTCCATTACACCATATGCACATCCAAGCTTACAGCACCTGGTATTTCCCAGTGGTCAACTATCTCAGTATTGATCAGGCTTGATATTGCTTAACTTTAGTGATCATATAAAAAAAAAAAAAAAATCAATGTTTCAGCATAATACAGCTGTAAGCACATTTTAAGAAATCCTGTCATATGAGCATATTTTGTTTTAGCCTTTGTGGGGGGGGGGGGATTAATTTACAATGAATTTACATTGTAAACTGGACCCACCCCCCCCACCCTAATAATTTTTATAAAATCTTTTTAAAAATTTGGTATTTGTGATCTGGTGTGCTTAATCTATATTTTAAAATTATTATTGCTGGTCAGTTTGTCTATTGTACAACTCTACCAAAAGACATTCAAAGACAAAGAGATTGGGGCAAGAACAATATATTCCTGTAGATTAAATAAAGGGTTCAATTCATAATTCCCTGAGGATTATACAGATCAACAGATACCTGAAGAAGGATGGAAGTAGAACAGCTGAAATGTTATGATAACAAAAGATGAGGATATTAGTTTGAATGTAAATAAAGACGAAAGTAATTTTTAAATGTCTATACTACTAGGAGATTTATAATTGGTTAGTAGACAACTCCACAACTTATTTAGAAAATTTCCAAAACACAAGCAATTTGAACAAAGCTCTATTAACTTTTGTATTGAGATAGAAAAACTGTTTATACCATTTGATGACAAATGTCAAAATATACTTGCCAGAATTTGTATTTAGTCAAATTTATACAGTCTTTTCCACAAACTAAACATTATAAAATGTAACACAAATTAATATCAGTATTTTAAGACATGCACATCTTTGTTCAGATCTCAAAAGTCAATATCTTTGTATCCAAAACATAAACAAAGCAATTTTTAAAGAATTAATGGATTTTTTAATGTTTAATCCAACAAATTTCAAACATTATTTTTAGTGGATACCAGTGTTTAAGTCGATGCCACTTTTTTTTTTTAAAGACATCATGTATCATGTCTACTGTATATGTATCATATACTCTCCAGCAGTTTAAGTTTCTCTATATCTTCTATCTGGAAGTCAGGATATATTCAGTACCTGGTGGCCCAGCTAACTTCAGTTAAATCAGGAATCTACTTTTAGATGCAAAGACATTTTAACCTCTTTTCTATGTATCACTAAAATATCAACTGAATTTTATCTTAAATGTATCCTCACACCAGTAATAGTTACCTACCTCCAGCATACACACCAACAGTAGAGCCCATTTTGCATGTGTGTATGAGCACATGTTTATGGTATCCACTTTCTGTCTTTCTAGCATACAGAATTCAAGTATTTTGGAAACACAATATTACTATCGAAATGAAAGCTGAACTTACCTGCATAAATTCTCCATAAAGTGATGAAAGAAATGCAAATGCCATGGCCACCTGAAGAGTGTAAAGTAGAAAGGCTGGAAAGGAAAGAAGAGACTTTCATTTACAGTAGACATTTATATACATACAAAACTTATACAACTTTTCAAAACAATAAAACAAAGCGAAAAGGAGACATATATATATATATATATATATATATATATATATATATATATATATATATATCTTCTATCTTTAAGAGAGGAGTCATTAAAAACATTTGATTGGACAATTCTTTCTTGATGTTATTAATGTTTTGGCCAGTCTATTCTGTTTTTATCTGAAAGAGTTTCAATTGTCCAAACAAAATTTCAAACATCTCTCAGCCAATTGAAGGACAGAAATTTTACATCCTTATTTAGAGCAACCCCTAAATTGGCATTTATATTGTTTGCATGGGAAAATGTCATCAGAAATTAAAAAGTATTTGTCAAAAAAATAAAATAAAAATAAAACTATTATTTTCCTGCTATCATTTCGGTGAAAAATGTCAGGCTCAAAATGCTTGAACCAATTCTGGTATGTTATGGACATCAGTGAAAATATTGAGCTCAAAACTCTTGGCATAGCCATTGACACTTGGAAGACACTTAAAATGTCTGGCTCAAAATGCTTGAACCAATACTGGTACATTATGGAAGTTACTGTGAATGTTGGACTCAAAATACTGAGTATTCCAATTGTACATTATTGGAAACCAGACTTACATGTAAGGAGACCTGCAGAAATTCTCTTCTCATGAATCAGTTTTCCTCCATACCATAAGACAAGACAAATTGCTGCATAGGCCAAGAAACCAACAGTTCCACTGAAGATGCCTGAAAGAAAAAGAAAAGAAAAATCACTATCAAAATGTTACAAACTATTAAAAAAGAAAGAAAAAATGTCTTATGTTTATTTTGCAGATGTCACACACTGATTCAATCAATGGAAATTCTATTCTTGAGATGATGTCAAAACTTCTCAGAACTCAAGAACATTTTGTAGAATCCAGGCAGAGTAAATGATGGCAGTTTTCTGGAGGTCAACAGTCTTAATCTCAATTCCATTTTCCCCTTGGCGCGCTTTCAAATTACTACAGGAATTACTTTGACTATACTTATTATAGATGATGATAATATATTATTCTCACTAATACTGTTAAAGATCAAGTAGGCAAACAAGACTTCAAGACGAATATTAAGATTAGTTTCTAGGTTCCAATGACTGATTTACCAGGTGGAATGTGGCACAAGGCCAGGATTTAAGTGGGAATTTTACAAGTATATGGAATTGGTAATAAAAATATCTTAGCTCTTTCAGTACTTCCCTATTGGGACACTTCATGCAATGAGACAGGTCTTATTTTAATGCAATAAGAGAGATGCTGCTTGCAGAGGGAATTAACTCCTATGGCTGAGCATATGCTTTTTTTTTTTTTTTAATGAAGCCTCAACCATGATGGCCCAGACAGTTTGCAAAACGATTGTCTGCAGAGGAGAAAAAAAAATCTAGTTTATTTAATGGAATAGTCCAGTTCTACAGATGGGAAATTGTTTTTTTTAATTCAGAAGATTCCATAATTTTAATATATCCTTTTATTCTGCATGTTTGTATGACTGTTGGTTATGTTTTTTTTTTTTCAGGGTTATGGGTATTTCAGTGTGTACTACCCACAGCTCTTCTGAATTGGATCATTTATGCTTTCTAAGAAACATACATAGAAAGAACCACCCCCGCAAAAAAATGGGTATCACCCTAACTTCTGTATATATATGTGTGTGTGTGTCTAAAACATAGTGAAATAGATCCTTCTGCTACCACAGTTTCATCTGTGGACCGTGTGTGTGTGTGTGTGTGTGTGTGAATGTGTCCCATACTAACTTTGAGCGAGTTGTCCTGGATAGAAATAACTAGAGACATTTGTGCCAAAGTTGTATCAGAAATTTCAAAATCAGTTGTATTGACCAGCAAAGAGACAAAAGACAATGGTGAAAAGTATCAAAAAATATTCCTGTGTCTATGTCCTGAGATCCTCACCATTACACAACATGTGGACTTGTATACATGTCACTAATGGGACTGAAGGGTCTCATACAACACAAATATAAAACTGAACGAGGTTGTCAGATCCTCATAATATCCATTATATATGGTCAAAAGGTGAAATCATGGTAACAGTAAGATCTCGTTTTTTAATTCTATATATAAATAAATTTATGTACAATTTTTAGACAAATTTATTTATACATGGAATTGTGTAAAAAACCTCCTGAAAAGTAAATTGACCAAATACTAAAAAGTTTATAAATGAAACTCTGAGTTGAGGGATGGATGAAGCTGAATATAACATCAACCAGCTAAGTGACAAATTACATTTGTATTAATCATATGTATGTGTGTGTGTGTATATATATATATATATATATATATATATATATATATATATACATAAAGCAATATACATAATATCATATATTAATTACACAACTGAGTTTTATGCCAAAGTAATTTTTAAGTGCTGGAATTATATAAGTTCTACATGTTATTTTTACTTTTATTCTATTTTTTCACATGTGTATTGAGCACTTTAATACTATGGTTTCCTGGTCTGATTCAACTCTGACCATTAACCGTGTGTGTGTGTGTGTGTTGAGAGAGAGAGAGAGAGAGAGAGAGAGAGAGTGTACTTGCTGACTGAAGATCAAGAAACAATGAATCAAATATTGAAAGGCAAGTAAAGATGAAAAGCTGTCAAAATTTCAATCTATTGAAATATTTTTTTTTTTACTCTAATATTTTTCAACATACTCTCCTTTGTCAATGCACTTAATTCAGCAGTGAATACATATCCCATAAATCTAACATTTATACACTGAAAATTTCAGCTGATAACTGTGTGTGTGTGTGGGGGGGGTGATGTGAACTTACTGATGTGTGACTTTTTTCTACTTATCTAAAAAGTAGAGAAATTGGACATACCTTGGGCAGCTGACAATTTTTTACCAGTCTGATAACTGTCTTGAATTTGAGATTCATATAAATCTATTGTTTTTTTCTCTCCTGCAAAAGATCGAACTGTCCGGACATTAGAGAGGGATTCTTCAGCTGTTGTGCTTGCTTTGGCTAAAATGTCTTGGAATTTTTGGCGCAGGTTCTTCACAAACCGACCTAAAATAAAATAAATAAAAAAAAATAAATTAAAAAATGAAATAAAACAAAAACATTTAACAGAATTTTTCAAAGCTTTTTACTCTTCATGAGTAATTATTATACACTGATTTATGGGGATGAGTATTCTCATCTTAGTTGTTACAGTCACAATGTTTCAAAACTCTATGGCTTTCTTTAGGCATCTGTTATACTTAGTAATCTGGAATGTTTCCTTTAGCATGGACAACAGAATGAAAAACAGTGATCAGATCGGATTTACTTTTCAAAGGTCAATACTAAAATTTTAAACTTCACATCTTATAACTTTTTAGGCTACTTTTAAAATAAACCAAGATGATTTACACTACCAATGTAAACTCAAATTAAAGTTTGAGTAATGTTGGGCTTTGAAAATTTGCTACTTGTTAGCTTAATCAGGTAACTCTGACAAAGGAGATAATTCATTCTTGTAATGCCACTTTTGCTTACCTACCCCTAAACTGGAACATATGATTTTTCACTACCCAAACCAAAGAATGAACTCATGATTACTAGGTACTAGATACATTTAACCAATGGTTTAAAATGTTTCATAGGATGAAGAGAGTTTTCCCCCTTAGATCTTTCAATATACAAGAAGAGGCAAAATTAAGTCAAATTTACTTGTCTCCGAATTTACTTGTCACTATGTCAAACTACAAATAACCCTTCCCAGTTCTACATTTTATTTATGAATGCATTTTTAATAATATATGGTCAATAAGAATCTATTTTAAGCTTACAAATAAATTTTAGTTATTAATATAGTACAGAAAAAAAAGTAATCTAAATTTACGAATACGTGCATGTACATACTTGTATTGTAGATATTTAGTTTACAATTTGGTGATCTTTACAGTACATCGCAGACTCTTTATTTGTGAATGTCGTTTGCTCTAAGACCTTATAAAATAATATTCAGCCCTTAAAGACCGCTAAAAGACAACAACACATAGTCACCAATGTTTTCATACTTCGTTCTCTACTAAAATTTTTACTGTAAAATGTAAATGTACGGTATTTTAATATGATTTTATATACTTTTATTCTTATTTATTGCACACTAACATAATTTTATGTGCTTTTAACGCTTTTCTTTTGATATTACAACTTCAATATTTGTGGCGGACAGATGTAAAGTTGAATAAAGTAACTTCAACTTGATTTTATTTTTCCTTTAACAAACAACGTATTGTTGCGGGTTGTAACTGAGTGAAAATGTATCAGAAGGTAATTTATAAGGCAAAGATTATGTGTGTTTATTATGCATTATCCCACAACAAGTAGATCAAATAAAGAATATAAGGACAATTTGTACTGCAAGAAATTACTAAAAACACAATGATTAGAGATCCAACAATAAAGAGATTTTTATATATACAATAGCTATACATGCAAGGATAACAGAATGTTGTTGATTGTGGCAATTGAGACAAGGTTATGAAGAATGTTCATGCAGAAATTTGGTCAATAAAAGTTAATGGTTTTGATTTGTTAGTGAAATTAAAATAATTTGGTTTCTGCAAGGAAAAAATCTCAAATGTGTTCGTTCAAATATTAGTGTGTATGAGTGTGTTACTTGTTAGTTAGAATTTAAGTTGTGAAAAGTTGTTTGCCTTTAACTGTTTGGCTAAATTGAGGAATTGTACAATTACTGTTTGTGTAGTGAAAAACATTCACTTTTTAAGTCAATTGTAATTTGATTACCATGCGGACAATGGTCGATTGAGTGCTGTGTTGAGTTTGTTGAGAATCTTGAAGTGATGTTGAGTCAGTGAATTGACACGCGTGGAGTTTGGTAGCATCTCACGAAACTTGATGACTGACCGACTCGAGTCATGCGGCTGTTTATATAGACTTTGGTGTCTAAAAATCGGCTCCAGGGAGTTTTGGCGGGAAAAAGGATCTGCTTCGACTTTGCTACAGTTTAGTGTTTCTTAACCAATAGAAGATTGAATTTACTGAAACGAAGTGGTGATTGGTTAAGGCTTTTTTTACGGAAGAATACATCTTTCCAAAAGGGGTGGAAGGCTAATGTAGAAGATTTTACAGTATAATCAAGAAGAACGACTTAACTCAAAACGGCATAACCTGAGGTATACCTGTATTTCACCCCCGTTACATACAAAGACTTAATAAAAAATTCTTTTTTGAACACCTATTATTTCATAACTAGTTTTTTTTATTCCAACTCATAAATAATAGTGACAGTGCTTCACCCCAAAAACAAAATGTTTTCCCAAGCAATATACTTTTTTTTTTCTTTTTTTTTTTTACAAGTTTTTTGTTCCATCATATTGAAGACGAATTCTATTTCCAATTTAAGTTACTTAATGACAATGGCTGCAGAATGTAAAAAAACGAAAAAAAAGGACCCAGATGTTGCAATAAAAAGCAATTAAAGAAAAATGAAAAGAAAAAATAAAATAAAAAAAAAAAAAAAATATCAATGACAATGCTTTCATCTATGAAATTCAGACAACAAAAAATAGTGTGGAATATTTCTGACTCAATTTGAATGGCTTTGTGGCCTAAACGGTAAAGTGCTGTATATGTCAGCCAGGCTACCAAGGATACAGGTTAGACTAACATGGTTACATGCAACTTCTTTATTTCTGGTCCTTGCTGATTACTTATAGAACATTAAAAAAATGATCTGTGCATTACAAATAAAAATATTTTTTTAAAAAAAATCAATAAATATACAAAAAAGTAAAAAATAAATAATTACAATGATTCATTTAAGAAATGGACAACATCTAAGGACAATTTGAAAATACTATCATTGTTTTTTTTTTTTTCTTTCACAAAGTTTCAGAATATTCTCTGGCTTTCATCAGTATAATTTTTCTCTTATGTAATCACTTGTTCATTAGTTTAGCTTATATAAACCAGTCTGCGGTCTACATTATACTGTGTTGTCACTGCCTTAATGATTTGCCAAATCTTACAAAGAAATTTAAAACACCTTCTCGATTCTTTTTTTCTTTTTGCTTATTTGAAGAGAGTTCAAAATGAATAAAACTGAATAAAAATAATTTATCTGAAAATCTCATATAAAAACAGAATTCTTCCTTACCATACTGAACAGCTCCAAGAGATACAAGTGGGACAACACCCAAGAGGACACCTGTAAGAGCAGGGTTAAGGACAAACATCACCGCCAAAGAACCAGTGATTTGGAGTAGATACTGCAGCAATACAGACAAGTTTACCTAGGAATTAAAAAAAAAAAGGACTCATTTATCATTCAAGAGCTCACAACAGATTGTTAACAGTTTTATACAAAGAATATTATCTTGAATTTTTATTTATTTATTTATTTTTTAGACAAAACATCTCCATTCATTGTTTCGTGATTAATATTTCTCTCATCTTAATTTCAGATGCTTTTTATCACAACTTCAATGTCATTCTACCAGCATTCCTTTCAGGATATGAGTGATCATGGCTTTCCACAACTTCCTATCTTTTGTAACTCTTAGCAATGTTTATCTTTTTACTATCTCTCCCACTCCCTGTGTCTGCATCCATTTACACAAGCTCATTAGATAGAGGTTCCTTACTGTTTTCCTGTTCCTCTCATCTTCATTGTTTTGTGAGTGTCAAATTTTCCAAGCCTTCTTTTTTCATTATGCATCCTAGAATTTTGATGCTTTCTTATTACGTGTATAATTTTCCTTTTTGTCTCCATTTTCCTTAAAATTTCTGCATAGCTTACATGCTCAGTCTACAGTATTCTCAGCATCCTTCTGTAGAACCACATCTCTTTTGTTTCTACTTAAACTTTGAGGAGATTGTACAGGATTTAATGTCATATAAGAGGATTGATATTACATAGCAGTTCAGCATACCTTTTCTTTGATTCTAATGATGTTTTCCTATTTTTTTTTATATATGTTTTTTAGTTTTTAGAAGACATCTTTTGCTATTTTTAATTTATGATATTTATCAATGGCAATACAATGATAACCCGAGTAGTTGTGATGAAAAGAGACTGAAATTAAGATGAAAGAAATACTAATCAAAAATGGATAATGGTTGAATATGATTCATGTAATAAAGAATTCAATATAATATTCCTACAATTAAATATTACTGGTGTACAAAAGAATAGCAACAAACATGTCAGTGCTAAATGACTGGGGAAAATAAAGAATAAGTTTACATGGTTAGATTAGATCCATTGTTTAGACCTGTGGTTTCCAATGTGGGGCATACGCTCCAGTGAGAGGGGAGGATTGAAAATGATTTATTAACAGTGAATTGTTTTTCTAGTGAGTCTGTGCAAGTTAATACATACGGTGCATATACAATATGGATACATGAAAATATTTGTGTGCATGTATGTATATCTGTGAGAATTAATTGTGTATGTACTTTATATATATATATATATATATATATATATATTTAACAATTTCTTAGTAATTTCTTCCTAGGTACTTCAATTGTCCTTTCGTTCTTTTCTTTTTCATGGATGCCATGTTCTTTGAAAGCATGTTTAGACCAAGTTAATGGCCTTCTAGGCTTCCTCTACATGAATAGGATTTCATTTTTTGAATAATAAGAATTATATGTCATAGGGTGAGAGTATTAGGATTTTAGAAATGCTTAGGTGGGGCATGGTCTAAAAAAGGTTGGGAATCAATGGTTTAGACCATGTATTATAGTAATATAGACTGCAAAAGGGTTCAGAGTTCAAGCCTCACTGAGAGGTTATTATTATCTTGATTTGTATTGTTTCCTAATGGCTGTAGAATGAGGGTCTGAACATTGGTAACAAAATGTAACTGAAAATTAATATGAAAGAAATACTAATAAAAAATAATGGTTAACAATGCTTTAAATAGATAATATTACTAAGCAATTTTTCTAAAGGAAGTAATGGATTTTTATTAATCCGACAGATTTTTTATCATTTTAAATGTTATTTTCAATAGTTACTGTATTTCAGTAGACACTCCATTTATTTTCATCTACTTTAAATAGCATTTAATATTTTTGTTGTAAATTCTCAAGAATGTATAAATTCACTTTCATCATATATTTAAGTTTTATTCCAATTCTAATCATTGTATTTTAAAACAATATAAACATTGCTGAAAAGTGACGGTAGTTAAAATAATAGCAGTGTCAAGGGGAAAAAAACCATCCCTTTGATACTACATCTTATTGTAGGCATGTATATCTATGTTTGTCAGTTGATCAATGAAGGCTTCTTAGTGGTTGACAATCTCTTGAACTTTTTCTTATAATTTGGATTCCATAGCATAAGTCAATACAACTTATTTATTTCTACAGCAATTGCAATTAAGCTACACTAACTTTTAAGAGATTATGTCTGTAATCTTTAGTAGGTTCCTTCATGGGGCAAATGTCATTTTCAGCAAGCATTTAAAACTGCTCTCAATAGTCAAGAGAAATTAAGTCTATAACTTATTTTGAAGAAGTACAACACGTCTATAAAGAAAAATTCCGTGAAAATAGATTTCTCTGAAATGAGTGTAGAAAACTTCCAAAGAGAAAATCCAAAATGTAAACTTACCGTAATGGCATTCTGCAGAACCTGAGTATCTGAGGATAGTCGGTTAGTCAGTTCCCCAGTCCTGTAAAGAAACATGTAGATGGTAAAAGTTTAACTGAAATGAGAAGTGATAATTGAATAAGCATTCACTGGAAAAGATAGAATGACTGAAAAGATAGATAGAAAGAAGCTCACCTGGTCACATCAAAGAAACTAATTTCTTGTTTCATAATATTTGCAAAAAGCTGGGATCGTAAACGGGCAACAACCCTCTGTCCAGTCAGACTGAATATCCAAGAACGTACCATGGATGCCAAGGAGCCTCCCAGGTAAATACCGAGGAGACTGAGCACAGTCTTGTTCAATTCACCTGTACATAGAAAAAAAAAAATTAAAATAACAAGACTAATAAAAAAATATTTGTCAAACCTAAAATGACAAAATAGCAATCATTCTTAATCATACCTGTGTAATAATTACAGAGAATAAATTAGTCTTAATTACTCAGTGTCCAAATTGTTAGGTGATGAATTGTGATATATGGCCTAGTGGATTAAAGTGTTGGTTAAGAAATATTTGGTTCTCCGGCAGTTATGAGTTCAATCTCTGAGTTGGGTAGTGCTGAAACTCATATATTCTGATTTGGTCAAAGAAATGTGGCAAGAGAGTTATCTCCCCTAAGTATGAAAAGTAAGTGGAGAAAAATCCTATAGCTTGTTCTGAGGAGATTATCAAGTATGACAGAAAACGGGAAGGTACAAGTACCAAAATATTGTGTATCTAAGAACAAAGATGAACAAGCCAGTCTGATTAGAAAGGCATACCATTGTAGAGGTGGAATCGAACCTAAGACGCCCAGTTACAAGACCGGAATGGTCTTGGCGTCACACCCCCATAGAAGTAGACTCGCCCGCTTACATGAGAGGCGAGAGTGGGCTACTTAAACAAGACATTCACGGCAACGAGTATCGAGGCAGATACACGTCGTCGCTGCTACCTTACATGGCGTCGCCGATATAGGAAACCTGCTACAAACAACGTTGGAATATGGACGAACAAACACAGCAGACATTACTTCGACAGCTCATCGAGCTACAGCAAGAGATCATCGCCCTGCGAAGAGACGGAGGACAGCCGAGAAAGTCACTTACAAGGAGACCCGACAGACCTAATATAGAACCGGACTCAAGTGATGGTGACTGGGCGATATTCATTGACTCCTGGAATAGATACAAGGAGATGTGTGGGTTGACGGAGCCAACAGCGTTAAGAAACGAGCTGAGAACGGCCTGTGCCCCAGAAGTGAACAGGCTGTTGTTCGATATGGTAGGAGCAGAAGTACTAAACTCCGTCACGGAGGAAGAGCTGTTACGACACATAAAGCTCAGAGGCCGTCAGAAGCCTACACAAAGAAGTGTACCGGCAAGAATTCCACTCAGAAGGCAGAAGGAGGGGGGAATCGATTACGGACTTCGTGGGTACGACTTGATCAGTCGCAAAATTCTGCGACTTTTCAGTGACTTGTCCGAACGGGATAGGATGCGGTCGGAAAGTCAGCTACTCCAACGATATGGTAGCAGGACAAATGGTGGCTGGGCTGGCAAACCTGGAGCATCAAAGCAAGGTGTTGTCTGAGGCTGTGACACTTACGACACTGGAAGAAAAGTTCAACAGGCTTGTCAGCCTAGAGACCACGGACAAGTCTACACCCCATCTCCATAGTAACGTATACCCTACTACAACGAGCACACAGAGATCGGACGCAGGCAGCGGCCTCGGGAGAACCAGACCGTATCAACCCCGAGAGACACTGAACCCTGTAAATGGTGTGGGAAGAGCTCACACCCTGACGGCTCGAATGAGCGAAGGGGTTGCCCAGCAGCAAAGATGACTTGTCACAATTGCGGCTTAACGGACATTTAAAAGGGGTTTGCAGGAAACCGAAGCAGGGGTCCAGCAACAAATCTACAGCGGGTGTGGTCGGAGCAGAATCCAGAACTCTCACCACCCAAAGACACAAGAAGGGTCGTAACGGGATGATCGTCCAAGATGGACAAGTGAAAAGGAGAGGTGAAATCAACCTGACAAAACCAAAGGCCGTGCCGCACCTGATTTGGAACAAAAGTAAGTTCGAAGAGGTACTCCTGATCCGGCACCAACCCTGATGGTAGAGATAACTCTGATTCCAGAGGCCCATGCGGAATTCGGGCACATATCCATAGGACAAGCTGGCCTCCATACTCACCGGATCGAGGCGATCGCAGACACTGGGGCACAGACATGCTCTAGCGGACCAGAAATCCAAAAAATTCTGAAGTGTCCAGACAAATGTCTAGTACCGACTAGTCACGAACTGGGGAATCACGGATAACCTACTAAACATAAAAGGCGTGATATTCGCTAAAGTCAGAGTAGGATCGCGGGAAACACGTCAGATTTATATGTATCAAAAAAAATACATCAGATTTCTGCCTGTCCGAGTCGGCCCTAAAAGACCTTGGTCTGGTGCCAGATAACTTTCCAGACCCAACTTCCCAGCAGAACGTGGCAACTAGCGACGGCGGAAAGGCACCATGTGGGTGCCCACAAAGAACTAATGTCCCACCTAAGCGGACAGTATCCCCTTTCGCTCCTATGGAAAAAACAGACCCCGATTGGAACGATGGATGAAGGAGCATTTTGAGTCCAGTGCATTCAATGTATGCCCACATCAACGGCTGCAGGCGATGGAAGGAAAACCCATGGACATCACGTTCATCCAGGGGGCCAAACCCTCAGCTGTCCACACCCCAATCCCGGTCCCACACCATTGGAAGAAAAGAGTCAAGGAGGACCTCGACCGAGACGTGGCATTGGGCATCATAGAACCTGTACCAGTGGGTACACCTACAACATGGTGCTCCAGAATGGTGGTTGCACAAAAAAAAGGACTGGTCACCGAGGCGTCACGGTGGACCTACAGAAGCTCAACACCGCTACCCTACGAGAAACCCATCATACACCGTCTCCTTTCAATCAGGCATCGCTGGTGCCTGCGAAAACTAGAAAAACCGTTTTGGATGCATGGAATGGCTATCATAGCCTAACCCTCTCTCCATCGGCAAGAGATGCAACTACCTTCATCACGGAATGGGGTAGATACCGTTATCTTCGGGCACCACAAAGGATTCCAAGCGTCAGGAGACGATATACATACGCAGGTTCGACAATATTACTGTAGATATGCCCAGGAAAACAAGATGTATTGACGATACGATACTATGGGACAACTCTATTGAATCATCATTTTGGCATACTATAGAGTACATAAATAACTGCAGCAAAAATGGTATCGTATTCAACCCCCAGAAATTTCACCAGCGGAAAAAGAGGTGGAATTTGCGGGTTCTTGATAACAGAAGACGGATAAAACCCACCAAAAAATGACTGAAACAATACGGAATTTCCGACACCAAAAAATATAACTGACATAAGATCCTGGTTTGGAATGGTAAACCAGGTAGCCTACTTTTTCTCAGGCGAGGTAATGGCCCGTTCCGGGAGCTGCTAAAGACAAAAAATCGGAAGTTCTACTGGGACAGCACACTCGATCGAATCTTGAAGAGTCGAAAAGAAGGATCACAGAAGAAATCGAACGGTGTAAGAACCTTGAAGTGAATAGGCCAACTTGTTTGTCGACGGACTTCAGCAAAACAGGCTTAGGATATTTTCTTTTCCAGAAGCACTGCAACTGTGCCACCGAAGCTGGACGAAGTGTGGTGAGGACCACTGGAAGTTAATCCTGGCGGCCCCGATTCACTAATGACGCAGAGTCCCGATATGCACCAGTGGAAGGAGAAGCATTGGCATTAGTCTACGGACTGGAAGCATGCGGATGTTCGTTTTTGGGGTGCCCAGAGCTGTTAGTCACCGTGGACCATAAGCCCCTGGTGAAGATCTTCTCGGACAAAGCTCTGGAGGACATAAAGAACCCAAGACTGTTTAACTTCAAAGAACGGTCCTTGATGTACAAATTTCGAATAAAGCATCTCCCCTGGCAAACTCAATGCGGCACCAGACTGTACATCGAGATGCCCAGTGGCGTTAAGCCAGGAGGAAGCAAACGAAGAGGACATCGTGACAAACTATGGATAGCGCCATAAGAGCGTCATTTAACTCCACCTATGAGCAGGACCCTAAATTAAGAGCAATAACATGGGACAGGATTGTGGCTGCAGCTGCTACTGACGAGGAATGCCGTTCCTCGCCGAATTCATACAAAATGGCTTCCCTAAATCTGGCACGAACTGCGGAGACAATTCGCCGGTTTTGGCATATGAAAGAGGAGTTATATTGCTTGGAAGGGTGACGATAATGGAAAATAAAATCCTCATACCCAGAAAGCTACGTGCGGAGGTACTGGAATCACTCCATTCAGCGCATCAGGGCGTCAATGGAATGTTGGCAAACGCTAGACAGCGGCTGTTTTGGCCAGGACTGGACGCGAGCATTCGTCAAACCGGGCCCAGTGCAAAGTATGCAACGTAATAGCTCCATCACAACCCAAGGAACCCCTAATGCCGCCCTCGAACCCCGAGTTCCCATTTCAGAAGACTGTGATGGACTTCTTCGATTTACGAGGGAAGAACTATCTAGTATATGCAGATAGATACACGGATGGGTAGAAGTCACTCTGATGTCGTCCGGGAATGCCAAGGCTACATGTGACGCCCTACGAAACTGGTTCTGCACGTATGGCGTGCGGAGGAACTTTCAACCGATGGCGGACCACCGTTTGACTCCAGTGAATTTAACGGTTCCTAGATAATTGGGGCATAAGGAAACGAACATCATCGGCATATTACCCTCAAAGCAACGGGAGAGCAGAACTGGCAGTTAAAACGGCTAAAAGGATACTTGTTGATAGCACGGACAGTTGCGGTCGCCTATGCCATGACCAGGCAGCTAGGTCCCTACTGACTCATCGCAACACCCGGTGCACGAGACCTACATATGTCTCCAGCGATGATGCTCTACGGTCGCGTGATAAAGGACCATCTCCCAGTGCTCCAGGACCGATATTGAATCCACAAACGCTGGAGAGAAATCAGTCATTATAGGGAAACAGCGATGGCAAAAAAGACACTTAAGGAATGAAAGAGAATACAATCTAAAAAGTCACCCACTTCAGGAACTGAAAATCGGGGAAACGGTGCAGATACAGAACCAAGTTGGTCCATACCCGCGCCCGATGGGCAAAGACAGGAAGGGTGGTGGAAACACTGGGTAACCGGCAGTATAATGTACGCATGGATGGGAGTAACCGGGTAACCCGTCGCAATCGCAGATTCCTCCGAAAAATAAACCCAGTAGTAGATACTCCTTGCCACTCGATACCTGAGGTTGCCCCCAGGAATGTTGGATACCATAGACAACCCAACAGGGCCCGAAATACCAGGAGAATGGTCCACCACTGATATGGATCAAAACCAGCCCGAAACATTCGACACTCTACCAGAACCAATGGAGGTAGATGACACAGCATCCCTGGAATGATGGAGGTTGAGGAAGACCAACCGAAAGCGTCGTAGCAGAAGGGTGACGCGACCACCCAGGAACCTATCCCCACAGACGTGGGGCACGCCGCATCGACTACTCCAGAACCTCAAAACATTGGACCACAACGCGAGTATCTTGTGGCCCCGGAAGGGAGGGGCGTGTAGAGGTGGAATCGAACCTAAGACGCCCAGTTACAAGACCGGAATGGTCTTGGCGTCACACCCCCATAGAAGTAGACTCGCCCGCTTACATGAGAGGCGGGAGTGGGCTACTTAAACAAGACATTCACGGCAACGAGTATCGAGGCAGATACACGTCGTCTCGCTGCTACCTTACAACCATATCATAGCCTTTTCTATCAAAAAGACAACTCTGAACTTTTGGTCTGTATCAGCTGAATATTTCTATAGAACTTGATAATGATGAATACAAATTGTTAAAGAATTGTTGAAAATTCACTTTTAAAATTTTAAAACTATATATAAAATTCTGTGACTTTCATTAGTCCATCTGTCTAAAATAGCCATACATTGACCAATTGAAACCAAATTTTGGTGAGAGGTGCAAACAGGTAAGGGGTACAAAGTACTGTTGGTTTTACTAAGGTGCGTACCTTAGTACAATAAATTTTCATTATTTTGGGGGGAAAAAAATGAAAAGTTTCATTATTTAACATGTAAAATACTCCAACTATTTTAAAAACAATTTAATGATTAAAATAATACTTATTTAATAAAAATACAATATTGTTTTTAAATATCTTTTCTTTCAGTTTTTATATAGACAAGAATCCAGTTTCCAGTTCACCCTGTGTTTGCAAAAACTGTAAACAAATCAAGGCCAAACACTTCAAAAAGTTGGAATTTGGCTCCAGAAATAAATATTTACACATGGTCAGTTGTATGTTGCATGCTCAAGAGCAAGAAAGCCTAAGAACTTATTCTTCAGTGTTTAAAAGGAAAAAAAGAAATTTTCTTAAATGTATGCAAATTTTCTTCTGTATGTTGCATGCTCAAGAGTAAGAAAGCCTAAGAATTTATTCTTCAGTGTTTAAAAAGGAAAAAAAAGAAAATTTTCTTAAAAAATATTGTTTAGCATGAAATCCTATAAAACTAAATTAAAAATATTTAACCATGAAACAGGATTTTTGTCAAAAACATTTCCAAACAAATCAACTTATTCAAATTTCATCATTTGGTTTGCAAAATGTAGAGTTTGTAAATCTAGACAAAAAATATTAGCAATAACTTCAACAATGCTAAATACTGTGAGGATTTCAACACACACCAGCATGCTCCAAAAAAATCCTAGCATTGAAAATATTACAACACTAGTAATGCTTGAAAAAAAAGTATTTAGTATTTGCCAAAGATTTCCACATGCTGGAAACTTTTGCATGCATGGGGTGGAGAATTAATCAGTCAAAACTTGTTCAAAACAACAAAGATGAGGATACTCATTCAAAATAAATTATTTAGTTACAATTTCAGAACTTTATAGAATTATTAAAATTAATTAAATCATCTCTCTTATTGTCATTACTTTTATTGCTGCATTGCCACATTATGTGGTCAGTTAGAGTGGAAATTGTTAAATATTCACAAGACAAATTCACATGGCACAAAGACAGCCGAGAAAAAAAAAAAGGGTATATGAATGAAAATGTGTGTTGTGAAACTGCAGACATAACATGGATACTTACTGGAATTACAAGGAAAAGATTTATAGAAAAAAAATCTCATTTACTGTATTGCCCAAGAGTCCATTATTTTTTGAGGATGTGTGGTTGATGTAATAGATAGAGGCTCAGAATGAGTAATTAGAGTTTGTTACATTAACTTATGCATAAATGTTGTTGAGGAAGGCATGAACACACTCTTTTTCCCTGCCAGGTATTGGTTAAATAGTACGACTTGTATCTGGAGAAAACATTATCACCTAAAATATTAATGCATTATTCAGTAGCAAAAGATTTTTAAAAAAAATAGCTCAATTAATCCCTTATTTTTAAGACAATACTATTTTTTTTTCTTTTTACACTGAAATAACACAGGGAATTAGAAACACACACCTAGGTCGATGTAGCTCTGCCTTTTCTCTCCCCAAATAAATATTGCTTTTGGGGTGGGGGGAGAGTCAGATTTATACTAAGTCTCCTAGTTTTATTTTGGTTTCCCACTGAGATTACATGAAATTGACTGAATTGTTTTTATGGTTTATCAACCCTTTGTGGATTATTTAAAGTCAAAACATATTTTGGATTGTAAGAATATTTTCTTTTTTTTTTGTGAGTGAATACTGCATTAGCAATTTTTGGAGAGTAACTATGATCTTTCCAAATACAAGCCTTACTAATTGACCAATAGCTGGAGGGATAAATAGATGGATTCATATCTTTCTAAAAAGGTATTTGTGTCAAAATGAATTTAAAGAATTTGAACTCAGCTCTGATTTCTTATTCTGAGCTTCTATCCATTACACCACCTACACATCTGAGGCCACAAGACACACCAATATCTTTTCATACAACACTATTATAAAGCATCATTTATTACAAGAACTACTAATGGTTCTTGTAATAGATGATGCTTTGTAAATGATCTAGGATTCCCCTACAAAAGTTTCATATACAGATTTTTTTTTTTGGAAGGTGGGGAGGTTAAAATGTTAAAAGTGGTTATGAATGTGGAAAATGGAATAAAAGAACAGTTTAAGAATTCCAACTAGGACAACGGGTATTCATTTTGCATGAAAAACATTGACAAAGGTATGGATACATTTGTTTCCACATTATCCCAACATCCAAGCTTTTAGTCAAAGCACTCTACCATAAATACTTTAAGCTGTTACCCCCATACTTAACCATGACAGGATCCACCTTCCTTTTTTGTTTTTTTACAAGGTAGAGTGTGGTCTTGCTTGCTACCAAGCCCATATTAAAAATCTAGCTGGTCAGAGGGGGGAATAAGTCATCTTAGTTCTGCCTTTAACTGAATTTGAATTTTTACTTCATGATTTGATGTTTAAGATTATTGGAAGGATAAAATCTAATCATTTAAACTTGTTAGATTTGATCTTGTCAGCTGGAAAAGTTCTTGTAGCTCAAATGGTAGAACAGCTGATATGGTTAACCAAATTTTCTAAAACAGAGTGATGCAAGTTTAAGTCTCACCAGGAACTTAGACTTTATTTTTGATCTGCTTATCCACTGCCATAGACTGATGGCCTGAATAAATTGGTAATCCAAAGATTATGATGAAAGTAAATAAATATAATAAAAAAATAAAAAATCCTAAGATTATATTGTATTAACTGAAATGAACTGAAACCTATTCTAATGTATTTTAGTAACTTTAAAAGATGCATATTCCTGACACTAATAAAGTTTGTTTTTTATGGCATTATCTAAAGATAATATTTATATTAATTCTGTATTTACTTGCAATGCTGAAAAATAGATTTAATGAAATAAAATTACCTAATAAAAGTGAAGTTTGAAAAAGTTATTTAACCCAGACAATTCCAGATTACCTTGCCATCAAGCAGAGAAAGCAGATTAGAGTTTACTCACTCATTGACTTCATAGCAGCATCGACCACTTTGCCAAAGAATAGTGGGGCCAGCATCTCTGTAACGCTCGAGAAAACGAGTGCCAGTAAGGCAAAAGAGATCATCCCAGCTTCCTACAAAAAATAACATGAGGAATGAGGTTTTATATATATATATATATATATATATATATATAAGCATTAAAATCTCAATCATAAACTGAAAATAACAACTTTAAAAATTTTCTTAAAAGGGATAATTTTTCCGAAACTTCAAAATGTGAGCAAATTAGTTCCATTTATTTTCTTTTTTTTAATCATTTCATTCAAAGCAAGGCAATAAAGCCACTAAAGTGCAAGGTGTTACTGAATGTTGAAAGAATAAGACAGAAGAGGACAATTGACATTGCATTTAAGTTCTTGAAGTTCAAAGTTGATTAGGTAAGAAGAAACCAAAAGTGAGTTTCACAAATGATTTCAAGAACAACCTTTTTCTTTCCTCTTATGAAACAAAATAAGATTGATTGATTTTTTACAGCTTATCAACCCTTTGCAGTTTAGTTAAAGCCAGAAAATATTTCTAGATTGTAAGAATTTTTTTTTGAGATAATAATGGCTTAGTGATAAAAGTGTTTCTAATTAACACATAGCAGGGGGGAAAAGAGATGGATTCATACTTTTCCTAAGGGTATTTGTGTGCAAGTGAATATAACAAAACTGATGGGAATTAGAACTGGGCTCTTCAATCAACAATTCCAAGTCACTGATTGCATCAACCATACATCCAAGATTACAGCACCTGGTATCCCCAAGTGGTCACCCATCAAGGTGCTGACCTGGCATGAAGTTGTTTAACTTTAGTGATTGTACAGGAACCAGTGATTCAACATGATGTGGTCGTAAGCCCAAATCAAAGTAAGAAAGTCAAATATATAAAAATTACTGGTACATCAAAAACCATAAATTTGGTAACTAATATTTGTTATGTTGGTGCAACTACAAATGCACATGGACAAGGGATGCTGGGAATTTTTTTTATTTATGAACACAAAAAAGACATTTTACAAAATAATACATCAAATGCATTGGTTTCTCACCATGACAAGACTGCCCACAATTTTTGACATAAAAAATACTACTCTGATTAAAGGAGAAAACAAATCACTATGACGAAAACGTCTAGAGAGTGCCTTGATCACAATGTCATCTACAGTAAATGTGTACCCAGGATCTTACAAAATTTCACTATTCCTAGCAGAACTTCTATTATTACAGTGTGGGATATCTACTAACAAAAGCGGTGGAAAGAAAAAGAATCTAAATGAAATCAGCTAGATTAAAATATATCTTTAAAACAGAATCCCTTGAAGAATGGACATTACCAAGAAACTTCAATGTTGGGGAAAACAACAAAAGATTGATATTTAAAGTTAAGTAATCTTATATATATATATATATATATATATATATATATATATATATATATTAGATGTGAGAATATGACAAATATAGTAGAATGATTTTGAGTAATAACAAAATGGAAAAAATTTCATCTGACAAATTTTGTCCTCTACAAGGACTTCATCAGACTAACAATTCTTACATCTCACCTTTCTTAAATCTTTTGTCACAGTGGGGTATATTTAACAGTGATTAAAAAAAATAAATAAATAAATAAATAAATAAATAAAAGCATTGAGAAACCAAATAAAATTGGCTGAGAATTGGGTCCAGATGTTGGACACCTGAAATTTAAAAAATTTAGAACCCCGACATCTTCAGTGCATATGTATAATAAATGTTTACATTTATATCTTCCCCCTTACTCCTTCATATATAATTTCATCAATAAGAGTATTACTTTAGTCTGATGAAGTCCTATTATAGGACGAAAACAGGTTATATAAAATTTTTCTGTTTAGCCATTCAATTATCCAATATATATTACTTACCGGTCGAGCAAGCAGTAAAACTCGCTTCAGGTTTGCTTTCTTTTTCAATGGTTTCCCTTCATCATCCACCTCTTGCCCCGAGTCATTGAATCTATGTAAAATGCGCAACAGATGAAGTTTCTTCATAGCATGGAAGCTATATGCAGATAGAAGGCACTCCAGGAAACCAAACACCAATGAGCAGATGACAAGTGCATTGTATTCCACATGCATGTGCGTGTAGGCATTGCCCAGGTTTATAATGGCATATAATATGGTACCTCCTTTTGCCACGGCATAGGCAAAGCAGAGGATACTGATACTGACTGTCACTATATGACAGATACACTTCCTTTTTGCAAGTATCATGTCATATGGTTTGTCAATTTGCCGGAAAGAGATTAATTCCATGTAGGAGTAGACAATTGTAAGAAAGACCATCTTGATACCAGTGATGAGTACAAGATCAAAGACAGACTCGCGAATGTGGAAATCAAGGATGTTATCAACAAAATATTCGGAATCGCCTCCTGTAACAAAAATGAAACAGTTAATCTATCTATAATTCTCAAGATGTGTGCGTGTGTGTGTGTGTGATCAGATGTTGTTTATGCATTTCCAGTTTTCATCCGATTTTGATGAAATTTTTTTCATAGATAATTTTTCAGTGCCAGTTTTGAGTCCAAATTGTTAGTGACAATGGCTCTCCACTACTTTCTGTCCATTATAACTCTCAGCAATGTTTTACTATCTGTTTTTGGATATATATCTATCTATAATTCTCAAAATGTGTGTGTGTGTGTGTGTGTGTGTGTGTGAGTGAGAGAGAATGATCAGATGTTGTTTATGCATTTCCACAGTTTTTATATGATTTTGATGAAATTTTTTTTGTTTGATAGATAATTCTTCAGTCCTGGTTCTGAGTCCAAATTGGCTAGAAAAAAATTACAACCTTGACGGTGAAAAATAATAATAATAAAAAAAAAATGATTTTTTACACTTTGTGCAAATATCAAAGGCAAAATTTAATGCCTGTTAAAAGCGTACAATCAATTTAGAGAGTTGAAATGCAAAAGATGTGCAATGACAAGACGGTCATGCAGCACTTGCAGGGGTGTTCAATGTGTGGCTGTACAAGACAACAGGCATGCAAAATAACATTTTTTTTTTGGAGGGGGATTGATGATATCTCAAGCAAAATAACTTTTGTCAGGGACATCCTAATTTCATCATTTTTCCTGTGAAACAAACGCTCAATTGTAATGAACCTAAAATAAGTTTTACAAGTGCCCTGTTGCCTCAACGTTTAGGCACCATTCTGCTTACATATGAGTAAATCCACCCATTCTGCAACTCTGTGTCCATTTACCAAGTTTTGTTTGTGCATGTTCTCAGTTTCATTCACCTAATACATTTCCTTTTTCACACATAACCTTCCAATCCTAGCTCATGCTGTGCAGGCATGATTCACACCTCCACACATTGCCTATCGGCTGCTGCTGACCTTGATAATTAATGCATGTACATGAGGCCCTGCAACACACACTGTGTCACGTGCTGATGCACGCACATATACATGACCGGCGGAATACAACACTTGTTCGAGTTGCCCATTGGCTGCATGAAGCCCCCTTGAGTCATTTATAGCCATTCCCAATTTAAATTTTTTTTATTGTCCTGCCAGTTTTTGCATTGCATTCAGCATAGTAATAAGTAAGCTTCGTTTTTTATTACTCAACATTTATTTTCCTAAACCTTTCCTAAATTTACACGAGCTTAGTGATTTCAGCATTCTCTTCTGGTATTTGCCCATGCATTCAATTTGACAATTCATATTTACCTAAGACATGCCACCAAAGAAAAGAACTTGCCTAAGTCACAAAATTGTTGACGCCAGCTCCACCATGCGAATAAGGGATAACGAATTGTCTTTAGAATGTTCAATTTACCATCTCAAAATGCCTTTCGGAATGCTTCAATCAGAGCCACTGAGTCCAAAGATCAACGTAGTCATCAGCTTTCCAGAAGAGCATAACTGAATGCTTCTGCACATGAAGTTGAAAATGATGATCAAAGGACTCAATGGCTGAGGAGAAACGCCTAAGGCTGGATGCCAATTGAAGGACTCAACGGCTGTGGAGAATGGTCTCCTTGAATGCTGCTATGCGTGATGCTGAGAATTCTAATCATAGAACCCAACAGCTGAAGAAGAATGACTCTTCCACTGCTGCTGCACATGCTACTGAAACCGAGGAGCAACACGGAAATTGTTTACAATCGAATGCTACTTTTACTGCAACTGCATGGTCAGCAGAGTCGTCTGCTACCTGTCAAAATAAACTGAATGCGAATAGCACATGAAGGGATGCTCAGCATGGCATACCAATGATCAGCAATGGCTGTTGGTTAAACCAGGCCTTCCATTACAACCCCAACACCCTTCCACATGATATTCAATTCCTCTATCTCTCCTTCCACAGGCCACCTTCAACCACATTGCCTCCCCCTTGAAATGGCATCATTTCCAGCACATTGAATAACAATAGAAGATGCATCTACATTCTGAAGAAACCGTCTCACCCCTTCACCTCCCCAATTCTCTTCTTCTGCTGTAACAATCCATGGAGGTTCCTTCCTTGCAAGATTGAGAATGCAAATACGGTCTCATTCAAATTGTTAACCGCCCATTTCGGGATGTGCCTTAGTTGCACCCAATTGTTGTTACTAATATTGATTTTCAGGTGGGCTGACTTTAAACTTAAACTGCTCCAATTGAATTTTCCATTAATGAAAGACGCAGTCAAAAACAGATTATACTGCTAGTTCTGTAATAAAATTTGAAAGTCAGGTTAATTGTCCCACTGTATTCAACAAGTCACATTTAAACCATGGTACAGCAACAAAAGTAGTCATAAGAAAATGAAGGGGAGGTAGAGACCGTGAGTGGGGAAGAGATAGAGAGACCAAGACTAATAGGGAGGGAGGGAGAAAGAGGCCATGAGGGAAAGAGAACGGAGAGAGGAGGGTATACCATGAGGGGTGGGAGAGAGAGAGGGAGGGAGACCATGAGGGTGGGAGAGAGAGGGAGGGGAGACCATGAGGGTGGGAGAGAGAGGGAGGGTATACCATGAGGGTGGGAGAGAGAGGGAGGGGTATACCATGAGGGTGGGGGAGAGAGGGAGGGAGACCATGAGGGGGGGAGAGAGAGGGAGGGGAGACCATGAGGGTGGGAGAGAGAGGGAGGGTATACCATGAGGGTGGGGAGAGAGAGGGAGGGAGACCATGAGGGTGGGAGAGAGAGGGAGGGAGACCATGAGGGTGGGAGAGAGAGGAGGGAGACCATGAGGGTGGGGAGAGAGGGAGGGAGACCATGAGGGTGGGGAGAGAGAGGGAGGGAGACCATGAGGGTGGGAGAGAGAGGGAGGGAGAGTGGGACTAAATAAAGAGTTTGGTTCAAAAATCCAACATATTTCAACTGAAGAAGTTTGGAGTGTACAACAGCTGAAACAAGGCAATAAAGAACAAGTCTGAATGATGTAAAAAGTGTAAATAAAAGTTTCAAAATTTTGATTCACAGCACCCATAACATCAGATGACAATACTTGGGAGTAAAATTGGGTAGACAAAACTATTAGGAATACATTGATAGTTGCGCTAACATGAAGTCCGCACCAAATGGGTAAATAGAAGTATTTTTGCCTGGGTTGGTTTGGTTAACAGCATATCAATTCCTTATGGGTCATTTAATGACAAAATTTAATTTCCTTGGGAGCTTTGGTAATTTTTTTTTTTTTGTTTGTTTTTCTTTCATGGTGTTTCGATCTAAGTTTGGGGATTCACTATTTGCCCATAGCTGAGACCCTAACAGATGTTACTACCTCAGATCCGAGTGAGTCTGCAAATAACAGCAATTAAGAGGTGGTTCCACACTCCTCAAAACCTCCGAATCAGAGGCCTTGCTGCCAGATGTAGTTTATTGTCATACACACAACATGCCTTACTTGGTAATCTATTATCTAGATTAAAAAGAAGAAAAAAAGCCATCCAGCGACTGACAGGGATATATTGAGCCTAGAAAACACTTGATTGAAATTCTTTAAAAAAGTCCTCTGAGTTCATAATCTGCAACAGGCAGAAATAGTACAGCTTGACTACAAATTTATATCTGCTATTTTATACAGTAACATGTGAGGTTTTGCAAATTGCTGAGGATTTTAACAATGTGCTTTTGTAATGAACTTAGATCATTTTACTAATATCATACCCATCCAATATGTTACTTTTACTGGAGATATTTATAAAATTTCCTTTAGTTTGGCTTGAAGTCAAATGAGGCATAGTTAGATTATATATCTTGAAAATCAGCATTCAAAATCTTTACTTTTAGATGGGCTTGAACAATAATGATGAGTAGGAAATTAAGCAACTATTACAGCCACTACTATTAAGCTCAAAATTCCACTTGAAAAAAAAGGAAAGGAAGGAGCGACGGAAGGGAAAATGAAAGGAAGGAAGGAGCGACAGAAGGGAAAATGAAAGGAAGGAAGGAGCGACGGAAGGGAAAATGAAAGGAAGGAAGGAGCGACGGAAGGGAAAATGAAAGGAAGGAAGGAGCGACGGAAGGGAAAATGAAAGGAAGGAAGGAGCGACGGAAAGGAAGGGAAAGGAAGAATGGAGCGACGGAAAGGAAGAAAGGAGTGACGGAAAGGAAAGGAAGTGAAAAAAAGACAGAAATAAATGAAAATAAAAAAAAAAAAAAAAAAAAAGAAGAAAATTTCAAAAGAAAATCTCTTCCCACTAGTATTCCTCTATTTTTTCCAATAAAAATCAATAAGACCCAATTAGTATCAAATACTATTTAAGATGCGGTTTTCAAAATCATGCTTCTTACAATTGTTAAAATCAATAAGAATATTTGCTAAACTGAAACATTCTAAAAAAGAACTTGAAAATGAAAGAAATCAGGGCTTAAAGTCAACTTGGTTAAATGCAACAAAAATGATAAAATCATAATAGTGGAGCTGTTAAAAGTTTTGTCTTTCTTGGATCAGTTGCCTCAGAGGCTCAGTGCAATTTTATGAATGGTGAAGAATAGTACTTGCTTCAATTGTTTTTCAAAGACTGAAGGAAAAGATCAAAGTCTCTCAGTCTTCAAAATCAAGTGCATGATCAGAATTATGGTTGGGAAAAATATCAGACACAAATCAGAATGGATGCCTTAAGGAAAAGGCTAGATACAAAGCCAGACATAATTACCCTTATTAGAAGAGAGAAGATAAATTGGTTTGGTCATGGAATCAAACGAGGTTTATTCATTGATTTATTTAGTATTTTACAACTTATCAACCCCTTTTTAGGTTATTTAAAGCCAAAACCTATTTTGGATTGTAAGAATAATAATTCTTTTTGCAAGTGAATTTTTTTGAGAATTATTTCTACTATTTAACTCTTAGCTGGGGGAGAAGAGATGAATTCATACCTTTCCCAAAGGTATTAGCATGTAAGTGAATGTAATAACTGACTAGAATTCAAACTTGTCCCTCCAATTTCTCATTTCAAGCCACTATCAATTACACCACCCACACATCCAATATGAAGAGGAGAACAAAGCTTTATGTATAAATCATACAAAAACAACTTCCCTGGTATATAAAAAAAAAAAAAAAACAAAAAACAAAAAAAAAAAAAAAAAAAAAAAAAAAAAAAAAAAAAAAAAAAAAAAAAAAAAAAAAAAAAAAAAAAAAAACAAAAAAAAAAAAAAAAAAAAAAAAAAAAAAAACAAAAAACAAAAAAAAAACAAAAAAAAACTGTGGTAGTGCTAAAAGGAAGTGAAGGCCAAATCAGAGAGGAAACAGGAGTACCACTTCTAACACTTGAAAGGATTGCCTTGGACAGGAAGAAATGGCAAAGTTATATGGGTATGAAGTGTGTAAGAATCTTCTTTGACATTATGCAACCAATGTAATTTAATTAGTATCAATAATTACTTACCTGTGAGCCAAAGAACGGCTGTGAGGATACCATCAAGAAAGAGAAAAGTTTTGGCTACATTGATAAATCGGCAAGTGGGTAACGTATAAAAGCTCTTCCTCTGTGGTTGGGACAGTGGTGTTGCTTCTTCTGTGCCCAACAAAGGGTCATCATCGTCCTCCATAATGTAATGTCCGGTGTCATTAATATGATTGCTCTGCATTTTAGACTCTGGTAAAAAGAAACAAATTGGAAAGATGGTTAGACATAATAAACTGTAGAAATTAAGGTTTAGAATTTGAATAAAATTGAAGTTCTTTAATGAAGTTGATTTCAAGGAGTAATTTGCTGATATTAATTACAAAACCTTCATTAGCAAACCCCTCCCCCCCCCAAAAAAAAAACAAACAAAAAACAGGATCCTTGTGCATCTGTTTACATATTTATTAATGAATAAAAAGAGAAGAGGAAATACTATTCTGAGGCACTTTATCAAAGCACTGTAGGATTTATTTAGTTGCATATCTACAAAAGATATTCATGAATGTTCTCAAATTTAAAACCAATGACATTGGTTTGTCAAAGCTTTTAAATTTGAGAACATTCATGAATATTTATCAGGTGGTTGAAAGGTCAATCAAAATATGTGGAGGACACAATGTGTCATAATTCAAGGTCTGAGAAAAAGTAAGTAATATTCAAGAATTTTTTTAAATGAATATTGTTTAAATTGTGATTAGATTGTTATGGTATGAGATGGATGTGTGTGTTGTACATCTTCCAAAACATGGATGGTGATGGATTTAACCATTTTCTTTTGATTTTTCAACATATTTGTGGTTATTTATGTTGGCTTGGGAAAGTAGTCTTTCAGGAAAGTTGAGATTGGAAAGAAACTGGGGCATAGATTTATATTTTGATAAGATCTGATAGAAGCACTCTCCAGAATTTTAATTCTAAGTAAATTCTCTTTTGATAATTGTGGTTTAATTTATTTGTGTATGACTAATGCATATCTATATATCTATCTGTATAGTGAGTGTATGTCTGAATGATTAGAATGTTAATACTGTGACCATGAGACCCAGGTTCAGATCCCATCAGGGTAGATTTGTCAATAGCCTGATTAAATGATTACTTCATGCAACCCCATACCACGGTTTAACCCAAAACTTGTGAGTGAAATTAATTAACTAGATGAAACTGTTTAGAAGCCATAGATCATAAAACGTATCCCTTTTCCTAACAAAATTACTGCTATTACAATGTGGGATATTTAAAAACAATAGAGGGTGAGTATCTAGATATATTAGAGTGAAAACAAAAACATCTAAAGTTAAAACCAAGCATCCTTGTATCTCCAGCATTTCTTGTAAAACTAACCACAGATATATAACACATACAAATAAAGACCTATAGCTACAGAAGAATATAGACTTAAATAGAGAGGACATCATTTTGCCTTCAGGAGACCCTTTCAGCCAACATTTTATCAAAAGGAGACTGTTGGCACATAGAATTTTTTTTTCTATTTTATGCTCTTTTTGGAACCTTTTATTTTGTTTTTAGTTGTTAATTTATTTACAATTTTAATCATGTTCCAATTTTCCCTCCTCATTTGAGATTATATATAATATATATTACAATAAAAACATTTTACATTGCTACACAAAAACTTTCATGTTTCAGTATGAAGATGATACTTCTTCAGGTGATGGTAGATAACTTGTGATAAAAATGATTTATTAGGGAAATTTACTTCCCAATGAGTGAACAAAACAATTATGAAAAAGTTTGTCTATAAAACTCAAGAGCCAAAGGGCTGAATATAATATTCATCAGCTAAGTGGCAACTTTTATTTGTATTAATCCTATATATCATCTAATCATTAAAATTAATCATTTATGTAAAAAATGAAATACAATTTTCCTAACTTAAATGACTGGAATGCTCAAAAATTAAAAATGACAGCCTGTCTGGAAAAAAATGGAAGCCAAATGGCAACAATTGAAAGGAAAAAAGAAAAAAAAAAAAAAAAAAAGAAAAGAAAAAAGGTAAAGAGTGAGTGTCAAGTGAAGAAAAAAAAAAAAAAAAAACAACAAAAAGAACAAAATCACAACACCCTACATATATGCACATCCGTGTCAACACACACACACTATAAAAAAAAAAAAAAAAAAAAAAAAAATTGAACCAATGAAAAGTGCATATAAAAAAGAAAAATCAAGAAGTATAAGCAGTCAATTGCTGATACCCCTTGACGAGTGGACAGACAGGTCTGTCTACAAAACTCTGGAGACTGGATGCTGAAGGTAACATCAATCAGCTAAGTGACAAGCTTTTTACTTGTATTAATATATATATATATATATATATATATATATATATATATATATATATATAAAAATTCCTAAGAGGATAGAATCCAGGTAGAACTCAATGTGAAAGAAAGTAGTGATACAAATAATAAATCAGTAAAGTTAATGCAATTAATGGTGAAATCACTTCGCTAACAGATTAAATAAAGCAGTAACTTACTAACCGGTCATTGAATGATGTGATCTTTGTTTTAAAAATTGTAGAATGGATTTTATATATATATATATATATATATATATGACTGTAATTTTTAAATGGATATTTTTTTTTAATCTGGTATTATTACTTTAAACTAACATGGATACTCATGTCAGAGCTGATACCCCCATTTTATGTTTTATAGTTTATTTTTTCCCTTAATCAGTCAACTAGCCTACATTGAGAACCTAATAAAGAAAAATGTGCCTCCAAACAAGAATCAAACCTGTGTTCCCTTTTTCTATAATGAAGACCATTTCTATAGTCAAAGTGTGCCCTTACCAATTAAGACATGGGAGGCCATCATGATAACATAAATCTCAATTACCAACTTATGGAATGCACATCTCCCCTTGGTACTTTTTTCACATCTATAGCTTCTAGTTTTATTTTCATACCCAAATTATAAACATGGTAATTTTTACTTAATTTTATTTAATCGAACCTTTTTATTACTGTAAATGTTATTTTCAGTGGGTAGAGATGCTTGAGTAGACATCCAATTTTTTTTTCCCTTAAACAGGGAAATTAATGCCAACCAGCCTAGATCTAAAAAAGATGTCTGCATTAAATGATATCTGTAAGCCTAAACAATAATATCTCAAAGATAAATTGTACACTTTGATATCCACCAGGTGTACTATTCAATTATTATTTTATCAAAATCAGCTCAGAAATAAGTGGGTCATATGTGCCCTAGAAATAAATTTTTAATTATGTATTTTAAATCTTTCAATTTTTTTTTTTCAATCATTAGATATTATAGGCAAAAACTGACAAATGCTCATGACAAAAGGAAAAAATAGAAACTAAACTGTGTTATATAATGGACAATATTTTCTGGCATATAAACCCACCCTCACATACACCATTTCAGAAAAAACGTTTTATAGTATTTGTGGATAAGCATTAAATTTTACTGTAATATATAGCTACAATAGAGAATAAAAACCAAGAAAACTTGTACAAAAAGAGATGAAAAAGAGAAGAAAAGGAGATGAAAAAGAGAAGAAAAGGAGATGAAAAAGAGAAGAAAAGGAGATGAAAAAGAGAAGAAAAGGAGATGAAAAAGAGAAGAAAAGGAGATGAAAAAGAGAAGAAAAGGAGATGAAAAAGAGAAGAAAAAGGAATGAAAAAAAGAGAAGAAAAGGAGATGAAAAAAGAGAAGAAAAAGATGAAAAGAGAAGAAAAGGAGATGAAAAGAGAAGAAAAGGAGATGAAAAAAGAAGAAAAGGAAAAAAGAAGAAGAAAAGGAGATGAAAAAGAGAAGAAAAGGAGATGAAAAAGAGAAGAAAAGGAGATGAAAAAGAGAAGAAAAGGAGATGAAAAAGAGAAGAAAAGGAGGAGAAAAAGAGAAAAAAAGGAGGAGAAAAAGAGAAAAGAGAAGAAAAGAGAAGAAAAGAGAAGAAAAAGAGAAAAGAGAAGAAAAGGAGGAGAAAAAGAGAAAAGAGAAGAAAAGGAGGAGAAAAAGAGAAAAGAGAAGAAAAGGAGGAGAAAAAGAGAAAAGAGAAGAAAAGGAGGAGAAAAAGAGAAAAGAGAAGAAAAGGAGGAGAAAAAGAGAAAAGAGAAGAAAAGGAGAAAAAAAGAGAAGAAAAGGAGGAGAAAGAGAGAAAAGAGAAGAAAAGGAGGAGAAAAAGAGAAAAGAGAAGAAAAGGAGGAGAAAAGAGAAGAAAAGGAGGAGAAAAAGAGAAAAGAGAACAAAAAGAGAAAAGAAAACAAAAAAGAAAAGAAAATTCAACTATAATTGAAATGCATAATAAAAAACATTAATCTACTTTGTATATAAAAAACCGAGTATATTTTTTTGACATTTTTCTTCAATAGGGTGAGAGAGAAAAAAGTGTGGACAGAGGGGAGGAGGAAGAAAGAGAGAGTGGGAAAAGAGAAAGAATGGTGGTGGGGAGAAAAAGGGAAAGAAAAAAAAGTGGGTTATTTATGATGTGGTGACTATATAAATATTAAACTTGAGGCCAAAAAGGGAAAATGTCAGCAAGAAGATGGTTTAAAAATGGCTTTTACCTGGACTTCAGAATATAGACTTTTGGTGCCCAAGTTGGAAATATACGACTCTTACAGCTCTAAGGCATTCCTTATGTAGCATCTATAAATCTTTCGTGTCCTGAGATTTGGATAAAATCAATCACACAAATCATTTAGGTCATTAAATAAATAGATTATGCAAAGTTTTCTTGATAACTCTAAAGTCTACAATAAAACAATTTCTATCCAACTTACTGACTCAGTAGAAATGATCACGAGCAGGTAAGTATTACCTTATATGGAAATTTGGTGATATAGTAAACATTTTTGAAACCTAATCTATATATTAAGAGTTCAAGTTTTTTTTCCTTATAGAGAGAAAAAAGGTAAGAGAGGAGAGAAAAAGGTAAGAGAGGAGAGAAAAAGGAAAGAGAGAAAAAAACTGTCAAAATTCAATGCTTTTTAATTTTTTTTTCCAACTAGGTTACATAATGTGTATGTTATCTTTCATTCTAAAAGATGGAATCTACATTGTATTTTAATTGGGGTTTGATAACTATTGATAGACTGAATACGAGAGCATTCTTTGCTATCAACTCTGGTAGTGTGCATGCATTTACTATTAGGTACCCAATAGAAGAGAAGGGTACATTTTTTCCAACCCTCCCCACAGACCTTATTAAAGACTATTGCATTTAACCCTTTAATCAATTTTCCAACCCAACTTTATTAACACCACCCCACTCATTGCCAATTAGTGTCATCCTCGCCCAAGATTTCCACTAACATGCCAATGATCACCTCTCGTTGCATTCTGGAGAAGAGCATACTGCATGTTCACAAGGTAGCACAATGAAAGAAAAATGCCATATCAAGAAATAACATGAACCCTATTTAGGTAGGTGTTTTATTTATCGCTCTGCCTGCTTATCTGTGTGGGTAGGTAGGTGATACTTGGGGCAACTTCTATGTCAGCTCTTCCTCCTACCAACTTGTCACCCATGGTGGGTGGCAATATGTATATAAAGCACATTGAAATAGCTAATGTATAGGTTTACCATCATTGGAGATAATGGTGAACCCATAACCAAACCTTCTTCCTGTCATATATGTCAGAATCCAATTGGAATTATGTTGTTGGTATTCAAAAAAAAAAAAAAAAAAAAAAAGAAGATGTTGCAAAGTTATCTATCAGAATACTAGTACACTTCCCAAAAGAGGGGCTTGATTTCTCAAAACAGAGAGCTTCATTGATGAGAATTTTGATGAAGAAGCTCACAATGTCAAAAATCACCATCTGTTTGCAAGTAGAGTTCTTTACTTGCCTGTCAGTAGGTTGACTAGTATAAGGAATTATTTCAACAGATCACCTTCTTTCATATTCTGACCATCTTGAAAAGAGTTTATAAACCAGAAAGATTGTGGCTGATTTGGTCATGAAAAATTTTATAAATCTTTATAGAATTTAAATCAGCACTCTTTAAAACAGCCCAAAAATATTTTTTTTAAATGATTACAAATATTTGTGTATCATTTGTGAGATTCTTGAAAACACCATCAAAAAATACATTTTTAAACTTCTTTCATAAAAAAAAAAAAAAAAAAAAAAAAAAAAAACTTATCTTTATGACAGAAATGTTACAAATAATTGCCTTTAAATTTTGCTCTTACATAACTGCATATATAAAATGAAACAGGTATCCAAATTGAAAAACTTTTTTTTACAGGATGCAGAGCTACTACAGTACACCCATCTGAGCCAAAAAACATGACACCTTGTAGAGAAAGAATCCCATAATATTCTACAGGTACTATATATATTATATGCAGGGATAAAGAAATTAGAATAAATAAAAGTTTTAAAAAATTTTCTCTCTCAAAAACAAAAAAAAATGAATGTGTGTAAGCTTTTTATTTGATTTTTCTTGTTTTCATAGAAGTTTTCCCTTTTCAGGACAAAGTGTGTAAAAGTTGTCATGTTTTGTATGTCCAAGCACTTTCAGGTAATTCTTTTAGCCATTATCAATGTTTTTTTTGTTTTTTTTTAATTTTTAATTCTAACTGAATGTGTAGATTTTTATGTATGTATCTAGAGTAATGATAATTTTTTTTTTCCCCAAACACAGTCAGCACATTGTGATCATATTCATAGTTGATGTTATAGAGTGTTGGCTTTTTCTTCTTTTATTATCAATGCTTCCATTATTATTAAAAGAATAGCCAAAAGTATTTGAACATACAAAACATTGAATAAATAGCTTAAGCACCTTGTCAGTCACCTTTAATGAAACTTATATAAAAGAGGGATTGCTACAAAATACACAATTGTAAATTATTTTCAGATACAGTGTATCAAGAAAGGAATAAAATATAAAAAAAAAGAGAAAAACTGTTCTTAGCCAACACATTTCATCCTGAGTGACATTATCAAAGCAAATGTAGGACTTATCTTGTTGCACAATTTTGCATACAAGAGCAAGGATGTCATTGGTTTATCAAGGCTTTTAAATTTGAGAATTGTCATGAATATTCATCAGGTGGTTTAAAGTTCAGTCAAAACATGTGGAAGACACAAAGTGCCATAATTCAAAAATATCGCTGAATTTGGAAAAAAATAAATAAAATAACAATAATCGAATAAACATGGTCAAGAGGCTGATATAAAAATTAAAGATTTTATCAGAAAAAGTAACTGTTTTCATGGTTATATAAATTCTGGAAACATTTTTAACACTTTGTGACATACACACAGAAAAAATTTTTTTTAGAAATAACACAGAGCAATGACAAAGTTCAGGATGGTCCAAAAATTAAGCATATTTTAATCAAGAAGCAAGGGTTCATTTTTTTTTAATGCAACTTCATTAAGTTAAGTATTTAAAAAACTAAAATAAAATACGAATTGGCTATATGTAAGGTTTAAAATGAATTTTAAAAAACGAAAAAGTTTTCCTGAAGCTTTCAGTTTGCTTTAAAAAGGATTAAATTTATACACTGTAAATAAAATACTTTGGTGATTTTCAGACAGAACTTATATTGATTGGAATAGACTTGCATTTTTTTCAGTAAAATTTATATAACATCACCATTTTTTTTTTGAACATTTGTAAACGAAACAAAACAATTTTCTGTTTTAAAAATCTTGCAAAAATAAAATACATTTCTGAAACGTTATTTGAGGAAAATTGGCAAATTTAAACTAAAGTTAAGTTAATCTGATTTGAAACAAATATTACTTACAACATAAAATATTGTATACAAGCATTTTATAACCATGGGATCTTGTTTTTCTGACGTGTTAATCGATTTATTGATGGTAGATTGACCACCGAACTTGATCATAATTATTATCAATGGTGTAGCAGACGACAATTTTCATTTAGGGTTTTGTTTTTTTGTAAGGGGGGGACAACCTTTAAAACAAGTGACCGTTTAAGAATAGATTTATCAGTTTGTACATCCATACTGCAGAAATTCTGCATACATACATATAAAAACAAATCGAAATTCGTTTAAAAAATTGTTGGGGTCTTCAGATTGTAACAAGCTTTTAAAATAGTTTTATTTAATCCCCTAAGAATTATCTCGTTGAAATTGAACTTTAAAAAAAAAATCAAAAACTGTATAAATTTATCAATTTTAAATTGTACTGTGTGTCACCCGAAAAAGAGGCAAAAATTTGCTATGGTAAAAATTAAGTTAGTACATTGTGTAACAAATCAAAATTTCGAATGTTCTAAAATAAATAATTAAAATTAAATGAATAAATAAAATAATAATTCCCTAATCAAACAATACTTTGATCCTTCCTCTTAAATAACAACAAGCATTTTGACGATAAAACTATGTTTTCTTTTTCATTACGTTTTTTTTTTTTTTACTTTGAGCATATTTTCATCACGGTCGGGTATGCTGACTTTTTTAGCGATCTCATGGAGGTAACTAGCTAAAAGAAGCTTAATTAATTAAAATTACTTTGATCCCAATAAAAAAGAGTAGTTTTCATGCGTTTTTGTAGTGTGTATATTGCCTGAAATTTTATTGTTAAAAACAAGTTATTCTCCACGAAAATAAAGTCAAAATATTTTGTTTTCCTGAAGACAAGGAACCACAACCGCTTTTGACCAATTTTCAGTTACTTATCCAAAAATCATGACTGCGAAGTCGTTATCAATGTCCGACAACTATTTTTTTGTATGGTATGGTAATCAAATGGTGGCCTTTTTAAAAAGGCCTTTTACCTGTGAATAATTTTATCAGCACTTATCCTTGGTTACGTAAGAAACGTTCAAAGTTTTTAATTTTCTATCATTCTTCTTAATCTTTTAAACACTAAACAGCGATTAGTAATATCAGCTGTGATAGTTTAATAATCTCTACATTTAATTATTACAATATAATTTATAAAACTTTTCAATAATTAACAATAAGCGCAAGGTAATAGGTACGTTGTTTCAACTTAGATTTAGTTACTAAATTAGATTTTAAAAAATATTAATTTTATTCATTTAAACAAATAAAGTTAAAAAAAAAAAAAAAAAAAAAACGCGTAGCCTTACTACACTTACAGAGACCACAATCATTCAATTCAATATCTTGGCTTAAAAATTATTTTCGATGCTTTTTGTTAAAAAAATGTTAACTTTTCAACACTTTCTAAATTTAATTTTTACTAAAAAAATAAAAATAAAGCTCAAATTTTTGCAACTAATTTTTTTTTTTTTTTGGCTGATTTTTTAAATGTAAGTAACAGACGCG